CCAGTTTTGCACACAGCAATGTTTCCACAACAGCCAGGAGGTGAAAGACCAATTTAACTGGGCGATTGTTAGCTTGGAGAAATTCCCTGCTCATTTTAAATAGCATCATGGGATCTTTAACATCCACCTGAACAGGCAGACAGGACCTCAGTTTAACGTCTCTCCCAAAGGCAGCCCTCCAACAATGCAGCGTTACCCCAGTGTTAGCCTATGAGCTCAAGGTCCGAACACCAGGCTTGAACCCACAGCCTTCTGATTCAAAGGCCAGATTGCTAAATAAAACCATAAGAAGTGCAATAATAGTTTCAGTACGGTTAGCCCAATTTTACTTTTGTCAACATACACTTGGTCATGTTAAGAGGCATTCACATTAAGACCTAATTTATAGTCAGCCTTTGCCTTAAATGTGGTGTCAGTATCACGGTTTGTAATACGCACATCAGTTTCCTTAATGATTTAATGAAAAAGGTCGGGGAGCAGGGTGTTTAAGAAAACAAATCACTGGTGTTTCCGACTCAGATAACTTTACTTTTTTTGCCAGTTGAGTAATTCTGAGCCCATCATTTAGTGAGCCACCAGGGGTGAGCTGGTGTCTGGCTTATGTGAGTTCAAAACTAGATTGAGAAACCAAATTAGAAAAAGGAATCTTTACATTCGGCTGCTGCGTTTCGTCCACAAAATGCAGTCAATCCACTTTACAATATATCCTGTGAAGCACTTTGATACGTCTTGAAGACATGATAAGGCACTATATCAAACATAAGGATTATTATTATTATTACACCATCTTAGTTGGTGTTGAAGTGATTTGAGACATTCATCCAATGCGAAAGGCACTGTTTAAGTGCACGAGATGGAAAGCTGCCACCTTCTTTACTTTTTCCATGAGTTTCTTCTTCATGCACTGGGATCCCTGGTTCCTCGTGAGTGAGGTGTTTGAGAGAATTCCCTTTCTGAAGACGTCATGTCATTTGAAGGAGTCGAGAAGATGTTTGAGGCCCTCTAGTCACACCTCAAGTAGAATAGCTAGTCTAGAGCTGTCACTGACACGACTCCTTCTGTCTAACCTCAACCCCACGACTGTCTGCACAACAGCCTTCTGTACTTTAGTCTACCTTACTTGCTGTCTCCTTCAGGACTATCAGATTGGCCCACCAATCAAAGGCTACAATAGCAAGAAGTTGAAGTAAATTCATGTGATTTCATGTCTGTGTACGTGTCCTCTGCTTCCCATATTATGTTCATAAAAACAGCTTGCGTTTCAGAAAGCATTCGCGGGGTCTGATAAAGTTCACTTAACGGGTGTCCTGAATGCCTTAATTGAAAAAATATGCTGCTGCAATTTATCAGAACAGTGATTGATTCTCAGTAAACGGATACCATACAAATGCAATATGAAAGTGCTTGACATAAGGCGATCAATGGCCTCAAGAGTAATGGAGACTCTTAAACTAATGGACTATCCACCAGTTTTAGGGACAGAGTACTAAACGATAAGCAGTATTCTTGTAGATCTTGGAGAGGATGCAATGTTCTTCCACTTGGTCTACAGAAGGAATGCTCTTGTGATTTAAATGGTCAAACCAACCTCAAAGGACATATCAATAGAGGGCCCGCCATCCAGCCTAGCTTTCATCAAGCAGGTTATTATCAGAAAGATAACATGTCCTGACCAATCTGTTATTTTTCAACAGCAACAATGATGTTGTACAGTGTTACTTTAACAGCTGCATTACCTTTAACCCCGTTTCCCCCTCTCATTTCCCCCCATTCTCTTCTCAGAATAATCTCTCAAATTAATAATCAGTATGTGTATCAAAACAATAAAAACGATAAACAGAATGGGTGCCCATTATAGGACACTCACAGCGACTCTCCCTGAACTGAAATAATTATTTTGAATATTCATCTCGCTTTCTTAGGAAGCCTTATTGTGAAATATTGAGTAACACGGTATCTTCTCAAGGAATCCAGAGTAAAACAGCACAGTGAGGCATCAGTTCAGTTCCTGTATATACACAGGGAAATCCTCCTATTGTAGGTGCTCTTTATGTGGTTAAAAGTGAGAGAAGGAGGGTTTCTCTGCCAGAAAAAGAGCCCAATGGAGTGAGCTGTTGTGACAAGAAATTAGAACAGGCTTACTTGCGATCAGCTATTCTAATACCCATTTCAACAGGGAGTCAGTTTTTCAGACAGACAGATGCTCTTTTGAAGAGTGCATTGTTTTGGAGAAAAAAGTGGTGGGAGGAAATCGCAAATATTGATGGGATCTGCTGTTGACTTGACTCAGAAGAAGAACAAGTGGATTTGAAATATTTTTTAAAAAACAATGATTCATTGATGGATTGGGTTAAGACAGTTATGTGTATTACACTTAATGATGTAGGCTTTAGTAAAACTCATTAATACCTTCCCAAAGTGTCTATTAGGGCACGAAAACATATGCCCCCGATTGATACACACAAACAAAACTTAAATAAGTTTCAGTTTGCAATCAATCAAAAGCCGGGGAAACTTTGTTGGTTTTAATAACTAATGGCACTAATTTTCGTCCCCCCCAATCACACTGATTTAATACAACACATTGACTGGAACCTGTGTCACTGGGTTATCTGGACTTAACAGAGTTAATATGTAAACAAGATCTTGGGCTTTTTGCATTCTCAACATCTAATGAAACATATCGTCCAAACACTGTCAAAACACAAACTGGGGATGGTAGCCTCCAGGCTCTTGTTTAGATTAGAGGTGCCTTGGAATCCCATCGCTCTATGTGCTAAGTGGTCAGGATTGGCAGAGATGCTGTTTAATACCAGATCTGTAACAGGAATGGCTTCACAAGTGCTACATTAGGGAAGGGTAGTGGTGGGGTAGGGAGGGGGTTATGGTAAGTAGAGTAAGGAGAGGAATTGTGAGTTGGCCAAACAGAAATTTACTAATAGCAGATGTGTACATATGTGATTTTAAGGCAAGGGGTTTTAGCGGGGTACTTACAAGTAATATCTTACAATCCAGTGATCCTATTTGTTGGATAACAAATAATAATTCCCACGAGAGTCTGGATTTAAATGGTTTACTTTATCCGCAGTAAAACCAGTGCTGTCTATGATTGTACAGTGTTTAAAAATTCAAAGCCATTCCAGGCACATTCCAACACAGCCGCATATTACCAAACAGGTGGCGCCTGAGCATTTGGGTACTCTACTGGGATAGCGGGGGCTTCGGTGCAGGTTAAAGCCCTCAGCTATCACCTTGAGTTGTAACATCTCCTTCTTCCCCCACTCCCACCCAGCACGGAACCTGCCCGATCCGAGGCATTGACATGTTCATAGAGCTGTTTAAAGGTTCGTGCTGACAGCCCTGTAACCCTTTACCTGCCAAATATCATGTGCCGATTCCTAAATCTATATCGAGTTTAGCCATCCGATTCCCTCGGCAGAACCGACCGTCTGGATTGTCTCTTAACGGGACGTGATAAAGAGACATGATATCAAGCACTCTGAATAAGCAGCGTAATAATTGGCGCTCATATTTGTACACATGGTACAACAACAACAACAACTTGCATTTATATAGCACCCTTCACGTGGGCGGGGTAACTTCCCGGAGCGCTTGACAGTGGCGGAGTTTGATGCCCAGTCAGGGGGAGAGGGAGAGGTGACCGTAAGCACGATCAAAAAGGAAGGTGTTTAGGCAGGATTTGAAAGGGGGTGAGGGGGGTGGGGGGGGGAAGAAGGGGGGCAAGGCGGAGGGATTGAGGGAGAGAGTTCCAGGGTTTCGGGGTGTAGTGGTTGGTACAGAATGGTATCAGGTGCAATGCCCTATCACTTTGTCCCCTCAAATATTCATTCTAAATCCTACCATTTATTATAAACCTACTGGGACTAATGTTGCTTCCACTAATCGATGGCTGTGCATACTGAATTATTAAAATGTTTGAAGAAAATATGGCTCATTCTTAAAAGGCTAAAGGTTGGATCAATGAACACACTTGTGAAATCTTAGCTGTTAAAAGGCTGTACCTCCCTACCTGTTCATTCCCTATTTACTATACATTGAATTAAAGTATGAAATATTTACAAGTAGTATTTAAAGATTTATTATGTATGTGTAACAAAGTTTCTTTCAACTTGTAAACATTTATACAAGTTTTTCTGGGGGTGCTAATTGCTTAAAAATAATAATAGTAATAATTGGTCACTCAATCCACGACTGTTTGTGGGGACACTGCTGTTCGCAATTGGCCGCTGTGTTTCGTCCCCAAAATATACAGTCAATTCACTTAACAGTATATCCTACGAAGTGCTTTGAGACATCTTGAGGACGTGATAAGGCGCTGTATCAAATGCAAGGATTATTAATTTTTTTATTGTTATACACTACAGGTAAAGGTCGAATGAGCCTTGCTGACATCTGATTCTGGGTTAGGATATTGCATTGCATCGTTTAAATTCAGGAGTGACCTGAATAAAACAAGGACAAATCGAGGTAATAAATACACTGTAAACCAATAGACTTGCACAACACTGTGCAAACTTTGATCGCAAAGTGCACAGCACACTCAGAGATTAAACTAATTATTGTTTTCTGAACTCCAGTGGCTGATGATTTCATATCCAGCTGCCTCAACTTGTTTAATTTCCCAGTGAATATGTATCCTTATGCTCAGTGAGTTGTGAGCAAACGTATCCTTCATATGTGTGTGTAAAAAAACCCAACCATAGTTATGTAACTGTCCTATTAATAAAACACCAGTTGCTTTATGCTTTGGGAAGACGTGACCAGATGAATCTTGTTTGGATCTTTTAAAATATAATTATTTTATGTATATAAATATATATAGATATATGTAATAAAGTTTGCTCCTGTGCTTTGTATTTGAACAGTGACAATTCCTATTGCCTTGTCCCTCTGACAAGATGTAAACACTACACACACACACACACACACACACAGATGCACACAGCATGCAATTATTACTCTTTGGAAGATGTACTCACCAAGTATTAGACAAAAGAGATCCAGGCAGATCAACATAACTTTCTTGTGATCCTTGTTATTCAGAGTTGGAGTCCCACCATTTCTGTTGTCAGCAGGCATTGCTTTATCGTATTTGTAGTTCTGCATCTGTAGAAACTGCTGTAAAATCCCTAGTCGAAATGCAACTGAAAACCTGGAGTTTCCCTTTTACTTTTTTGCTCTACTTTTTTTCTGGCAGCTTTTTTTCTTTCCTTGAACAACTTCAGCACAAAGTTAGTTTTAAGTTAGTGAGTTCCTTTCTCTTTCTCTCCCTCTCTTTCTTTTCCTTCTTTCTCTGTCTAAACAGTTGGTGTGGGGTGGGGGGGGGGGTGGGGGGGGGAGCACTCGTGGTCAGTCAGCACTGGAACAAGTAAACTTAGCAAATGTTGGTAGTAATAAACTTGTGCTTTTCCTTTGGATCTGCAGAATGAATGAGAGAGAGAGAGAGAGAGGGAGAGATCTGACTTGAAAAGAGGGAGGGAGGGAGGGAAGGAGAAAGGGTAGAGAGAGAAATCCTGTTCACAACACTCAACTCAACGCAGCACTGAAGTGATGTGATGAATGCAGTTCCTCTCCTCTCCTCACTGTGTTTGCAAAGTCTTTGGGCTCCTGTTTTATCCCTGAACTCCTCTCCAGCATAAGTAACCCACTTGGATCTGTTGCCAGTGAGTCTCAGCCCCTTTTTTTTCTCCTGACGATGCTGATTGCAGATTTCTGAGAATTTAGAGGCTTAGAGTGCCTCCAGTGTTCATTGGGGAAAAATCGTTTTTAAAGCTTTGATTTGACTTACATTTTTTTTTCCACATTTAAAAAAAAACACTATAGCTCTGTGTTACTAAATCAAATCTCACCCGAAAGGTGAAGGTTTTAAATTTTAATTGCCGTAAAGGGTATATCGTGAAACCCCAGGCTTAAGAGGCATTAATTGGCTGCTGTGTTTCACCCACAAAATATACAGTCACTCCATTTCGCAGTATATTCCGTGAAGCGGTTTGAGACGTCTCGAAGATGTGATAAGGCGCGGTATCAAATCCAAGGATTAGTATTATTATTAGAAGTTTGCGTACCTCTGCTCCCCCCAAACACTCACATGTACTTTTCTTGGTTGTAAAAGGTGGTGTATATGATCCTGTAGCTTTTTTTTTAATAGCGTACAATGGTTCCAGCAAACCAGGCTTCCTGTGAAATTTGGCCAAGAAAATATCAGCAGGAGATAATTAAAAGGTGTCCGTTAATCCATCCATCAGTAAGCGTACAGTATGCAGGTAAACAGAAGCACTCCTTTTAAATCTGGCTTTGGTTCAGATCTAATCTAATTATAATAATCCTTGAATTTGATATAGTACTTATCACTTTGTTGAAACATCTTAAAGCAGCTCACAGGAATTACTGCTGTAAAGTGTAGTGACTGCATATTTGTAGGCCAACACAGCAGTCAATTTGCGCACAGTATTGTCCCGTCAACAGCCATGAAGCGTGCGACCAATTTTATTTGGGGGATTGCTGGCCAGGATAAATTCCTTTCTCCTTTGGAAGAGTACCACGGGATCTTTAAATCCCACCGGAACAGGCAGACGGAAGCTTGGTTCAACTTCTCATTCCGAAGATGGCACCTGGAACAACGCAGCACTCCCCCAGCACTGTGTAGGAGTGTCAGCCTAGAGCAGGAGCTCAAAGTCTCAACATGGGGCTTGAACGCATAACCTGACTGATTTGTTAGTGTGCAGGTTCTAACCTGGGTTAATGGTGATCGTCGTGGGGAGAAGATTATATATGATATAGTTATGAAACAATTTCCAGAGCCTAAAATTCCAGGTTCTCGGAGTGATGCTGTGGACCTAAATGCTGTAACTATTGTTAGATAACTTCCTAATATCACCCAGACCATGCACGTTCAACTTCTGAGACAAGACCCTACAAAATTTCTCTTTATCTTCAAAAAAACAAAGCTCAAAAGAAGTCAACAGAGAAATAATTCCACACTTGTGAATCTTCCAAGAGATAAAAGCAGGGCAAAGAGAAACATTTGAAATAAAACCTTAACAGAAGATATGAAAACAGCCCCTTAAAATAAATCTAAAAAGGCGGTTCATTCTGAACTGTGTCAAATCTGAACGCTGTTTAATAAACTCCGTTTCTATCTAATCAGCGAAAGCTAAAGTCATGACTGGAGCTTGAAATATCAGAAATAGGAGTTACAGCCAATAGTGTTTACGGTCTGTAATGCTTGAAGTGATATAATATAGATCAATGGCGGAAAACTGGATTTATATTTCCCTAACTCTAAATCACTCTTGCCAGGGGCTGAGTCAAGTAAGTAAGCGCTTGAGGAGAGCTCAAATAACTCATAACTTTTTTTAAAAAAAAGTCATTAAACAGTTAAAAATAGTCTTTTAAATATACTTGGTTAAGTCAAGAATTTTTAAGGGGCTATTTTTGGGTGGAGGCCAAATCAATTCACACCACCTGCATTTATGGTGTAGCGGTGTAAATTGATGTTCTGACTGAAGCAGTTTTTTTTTTTGAGCTGGTGCTGGCAGCCAAGTTACAATGTGAACCGCTTCAGAAATCACACGGCTCGCACCAGAATTATTCTCCTAGGTGTTTTCTTGCAGCGATTTGATGTGATTTTCATGGTAAATCTCTGTGAAAAGTCAAGCATAAACTGGGCATTAGATACTCTCTAAAGGTCCACTTTGAAAGCTTATGTTTTAATTTTTCCTGTGCTGCCCATTCCGACATAAACCTGCTGGATCATTCACTATAGCTTTATTAGAAATTACAAGGATTGCTTTGGCAGATGTTAATGTCATAGAAACGGGCAGCCCTCATTTTGACAGCTGCAAAGAACATTCAGTACTCAAAGGATTAACTTACTTTGCCCAAGTTACTGTACAAGGTCTCTTAGTTCTCTACATTTCCATATTATAATGCCTTACACATTGGGTAAAAACTGACAATTCACTTACATCTGCTACTGAGTGGTTTGTATCTCTATCAACTCCCAATACACACTGTTATAAGGTAATATTTTTCATGTTAGGTTAGGCTGGGAGAAAGAGAGAGAGAAATTGGTGCTCTCTCTCTCGTTCTTCCTCAAGCACACTGTGGGCCAAACACACGGCTTCACTATCTGAGGTAACCAAAGTCTCCAGCTTTCAACAGCTTGTCATATGTGCAAATAGATGATTCCGTGGAAACAATGAAGAGATGAAAAGAGGTACAGGTGGAGTTTACTACCACCTCTGAGAAGTTCAAGCCAAATGCTTTATCCCCAAGAAAATGGTCCAAAGGGTAGAACATTAACTCGGATGAGAAATCAGGTGAACTTGAGAGACAAGATTAATGTAGTTTGGCTATAAAAGCTTTCCAAGGAAGTGGCCCAAAAGATAGTAAGGTTCACTTGTGAGTCAGAGCCCAATTTGGCTATATAAGGAATTGGTGGTATTGAAGAGGGCTCCCTATCTGAGGAGAACACATTCTGTACAGGAAGAAGGTTCAATTGGAACAAGACACCTTACTCCAAGGAAGTAGAACACAACGCACTTTGTTTTATGATAATATTGTAATATATCCCTCCCTGTGTCAACTCTTCTACAACGACAGTAAACACTGAAAAAGATCTGACAGTTCACTCGCAGCTGGTATTATTTGATTCCTATATGTCTATCTGTCTGACTGTGTTGTTGTATGCAGTATTAATATTTGAGAGCAGGGTAAGCTGTCTGTGTTGATGGACAAAACCAGAATACTTTTCGTAACTTGAGATTAGTACAGCGACTGTACAGATAACGTACATCTCTCATACAAACAATGCACCAATTGCATATAATGGAATGCACTAGATATGCTTAAGATCGTGCCAGTTTATACATGGTTTGTGTTGTATATCATGACAAGCGTCTCATCCATTGTTTCCGCTCCCCCAAAAAACTGGCACTGTTAAACACTTCTAGTGACAAGGTCGACATTAAGTGCTTGGTTGAGGCTCAAAGAACTTGTATATGCACTTACTAATATCATCGCAGAATAACCTTAAGCAGCTCGGAAAGAGTTAGCTTCAATAAACCCCCCCCAAAAAAAAAATTAAACTGAATTTCTTATAATAAAAGCAGCTAATTAGAAGAATTTACAAGCAGGATTAGAATTGCTGGGTTCAAGGCAAATTAAACCAGGGAGGTTTCACAAAGCCCAACATCCTGAAAAGGTATATTCGAAAATTCTTTGCTTAGCTTGATAAGGTGAAAAGTGACATAATTGCATCACTAATCACACCTGCCAAGCAAATTCTATTAGCTTGAATATTAAAAAATAATACAAAACGTCACAAAGCAACAAGTCTCGGGTGTAGTGTCCAACTATCCCAACAGCTAACAATTCACTTTACAGTCTATTCCGTGAAGCACGTTGAGACGTCTAGAAGACATGAAAAGCTCTATATCAAATGCAAGGATTATTATTGTGATTAATATTATAGATAACCAAAGTGAGGTAGGGTTTAGTGCAGCCAGTTTTAGTAGTTCAAGTAGCCTTCTGCAGCATTCCCCCCAAAGAGATAGTACCTCGACAAGATTCCTTTAGCAGATTATTTAGTGGTTTATTAGTATTACTGCTGGAAGCAATCTACATTCAATGAGCAATAATTGTTGAGACATTTTTTTCTCCTACCAAAGACAGGACCCCAATGAGCACAGATAATTAGACCACTATAATCTAGAGCTATTATAGTCATATCATCCATTAAACAAAACAACTAACCAATTCTTATCAACCTGAAACTACTATTATACAATTATTATATTTATCATTATGAAATTCATACAGTATATAAAAAAAACTCAATCATCAGCACCCTCTACTGCCAATCTATTAGAACAGCAGTTTGATGCAATTCAAATACTCATCCTTTTCACTACAAATTTTACAAATGTATCTTACTGATGAATATTAATACAGTGGTATCTATTTGAAATCATTTGTTGCAGGAAGATGTTCATCTTTTGCAGCATTTGATGTTAAAGGAACAACAGACTGACTGTAAATTGTATGCAAATTTGAAAAAGAAACTTATCCTTGTTCGTTTTGAGTATATTGTTTTAATGTAATGCCATCTGGTGCATGGATTGAATCGGGCCATAAAATCCTGGGGGATTTCATTCAGTCTGAATCTCGAAAATGATTCCCAAATCCCCTAGCTGGGCAAAGTGTAAGTGATCTCTTTACATAAATGGGCACTTTTATTTCCAAAATATCCTAAATGTATCAAGTGAGAGTTAAAACTCTCTTGTTCCAACTTTCTTAAGCAATTACTGTCAATACAATCATGAAGACCTTGTTATTAGAAAGACCACAAGGTGAATACTTCACCACTGGTGATATCTATGTCAGGCATCTTACCAGAGCCAAGTGGACACTTTTGGTTTGTAATTGAGATTAAAAAACAATTGTCACCATGAAGTCAAGATTTCTGAAAATGAGATTAACAGAAACATATTCTTGAAATAGAAAGAAGCCAAAATTTTTTTTTAAAGTAGACAAGAACATAATTTTTGAAAAGAGGTTTCAAACATTTTTAAAAGCACTTGGGAGTGTGTGAATTTCTTTATTATTATAACTGATGTCTATGAATAGTGTATTCACCAGATTTTTTGCTTTTAACAGTTTTATAGCAACGGTTCTTGTACAAGCAATGCTTCTGAAATCTAACTAGGAAATGTCAGTGTGATAATAGACATCTCAAGGCTTGCATCCATAAGCTCAAAATGTCGCACCACTTTAGTCAGTAATCACATGATTAGATGCAACATTTCCTTCTGTTTTTAAGTACTTGCTCTGTTTTGACTACTTATTCCAATACTTTAAAATAGAGTAAATTTCCATGCACGGTACTGTAAAACTTGGCAATGGAAATTTATGGATGGAACAAGCTGAAAACATTCCATAGCAACACTTATATAGAAAGGAAGCGATAAATGTTAATATGTTAGATTCTCAACTAAATAACATTTTCTTAACCTGCTTCCCATTTTACCCTACCAGCAACTTTCATCTTGAGTAACAACTTAAGAGTAGCTCCTCTCCTGTTTTTCATTATATTTATCATTCTCCAAACTACTCCTACTTGTTCATATACATGTTAGATTTGCCTCTGTATTTTAACACATATCTAATATAATCGTAGATGGCTCAGATTAGGTCATAACGCTATAATTTAATTGGTGGTGGGAGATATCATAATCTGTAATAGTGTAACTTGAAAGGTTTATGGATTTTGGATTTTATCAAGCATAGGCTGGACTCTTGTTTTTACACCACATATTGCAGGTAAATGAAATGCCTCGCTGCAAGTGGATAGGAACACACAGATGCATTCTACTCAAATGACTATATGTTAAAGTCCTGAGTGGAGTGAAGCATTACATAAGAGTAACTTTCATTTATTCTGAAACATTATTATTTCCTATAAATGGGCATTGGTCACAGTTGTTATATTTGAGATATTGTTTAATAAAAGTAGTTTCTGCTTTACTGGCAATTCACTCCTGTAGCGTTTGAGTACCAAATATGGAATCAACTCTAAAAGCATTTAAAAAGTCACATTGCTTTCGGCAGTATAAGAAAGGGCATGAGATCACAAAAATGTGTATCTAAAATCCATCGATTTGATGAAGGAGAACCTCCTCTATTGTCATTGGATTCCCCATCTTCAGTCACAGATATCTGTGGGCTCTTTTCCATGATTGTCTTCATTTTTGCACCAAGTTATATTCGTTGAATAAATATTACGAGTGCCCTAGTCGTAAATGAAGCATTTCTGAAATCAACACACTGATTGTCAACAAGGAAATTTCAAAGGCTAAGATCTCCAACAGAAGGTGAGAAATCAAAGAAGAGAACAAAAGAAAGAAAAATGAACAAAAAGGAACTCGAAGTTGGATTCATTTTGCTTTTTCTAATCCAACTTCCATAAAAAGAATAATACAAGGAAGGGAAGAAAAAAAGAAAAGTAAAAAAGCATTGTGTGGCATAATCAAATCATTTAAACCACAGTGAAGTCACTGATTTTTTTCAAACTTTATTTTTGCATTAACAAATACATGAAAAAACAAACTCTGCAAAGTGAATATCAGATTTTACCCAATACCACCGGTTTGTTCAAAGCTCTAACCTTTACAACCAGTAGATAAGTGTTGAGGACATCTCTCAGTACAATGTCTATTACTTTTTCATCTCAAGATTTCAACAGTAGCAAAACACCTGCTCACTAAAAATATTAACATTGTTCAACCACACACAGAATGGACCAATATTTCACTGGTTACATTCAAGCACAATAGAACCTGTAGTTCTTTTTATTTCTGTTTGGAAAAGTATTCCTTGCTCTTTTCTACATCAGGCGTGATAGTATCGCTCCCAGGTTTCCAATTAGCAGGGCAAACTGAAAGACAGGAGCTTTAACTTAAAAATAAGTCTTTTTGTTAATGATTATAAATTATTACCATGTTTCCATTATTTATTCTAATAACTTTTCTACACAACTTTTTCTTTCCCTCTCATCCACCAACTGAATCAATTATATTGTTCTTTGAAATTACAACCTTAAAGTAGTCAAATAATACCTTTCAAAATTTTACAATGTTATGGATGCGACATTAAGGGAGGAGGAAGCCTAAATAAAATTGCCACTTACCTTCTCCGTGTTCATCTGTAAACTGGAATGCTTGAACCAGCCTCATAACTTCATCAACTGAACGTCCAACAGGCAGGTCATTGATCATGATCTGACGCAGAACACCACTATCATCAATGATGAACAAACCTCTGGAAGAACATTTAGCATGTTTAAATTGTAGTAACAGATACTACATTCAGCTAAAGTTACAGTCACTACATTTTACATTAAAATTCTGTAAAAGGTGCAAGGATTTTTCTTTATCATTAATGTGTATCATCAATACTAAGTCTGAAATCTCCCTTACAAATGTTATTCTTCTGATATTTCCCCAATGACTAACCGGAAAGCAATGCCTTCATCCTCTTTCAAGACACCATAATCTGTGCAGATGGTTCGACGGACATCTGACACTATAGGAATCTTTGTGGGACCAAGTCCTCCTTGTTTTCTTGGTGTATTGATCCTACAAAGTACATATGTCTAATTTATTTTAAGCTATATTTGAATATGATAAAAACAAAACAGGTAGAACGCTGGCCTTCTATTGAGGTTCATTTGGCAAACAATGCCATTCTCAAATCAGCCATCAAATCAGCCATCAACTAACAGCAACTTATTTGCATTTGCTTTGGTTGTTGCATATTATATTACATTAGCTAATTCTATTATAACTGTAGATCATGCCATTGTGTACAGTGTAAGACTGCAGAAAAAACATTGTTAAGGTTACTATGAAAAGAAGTCTTCAAGACAATTCCTTGAGACTTCTCTTCAAATGATTGTCTATTTGTTTGAATCTAATTCATCCACCACATATAAACGAGGAAGACCACAGTCACAAAATCACAAGGAAGTCCATACTGAAAACAAGTCATGTAACTGTATCAGAGAAGTAACATAATTTGAAAGACAAATACTACAGGTTTGTTAACACTAAGCTGGAGATTCAGTTGATTAGGAGTTAATAGAATTACTGTCAGCTTCTCCAATCACACTTGCTGGATAAGGGAGACATGAAGAGTTCGGAATGCCGACTGGAACATTCTTTCCCAACAAAGAATGTGTGTGGGGGTTTAGAGAGTGCTCACTCGATTATCTTGTTCTGGATTCTTCAAAAAGAAATACAAGATCAGTGATGTCTTGGAAAATATGTTTTTCTGCTTTGAGGCCATTGGAGTTAGCAGTTACTTCAACTTGGATATATCAGCATCAGAGGCAGATTATTACATAGCTGTAATAATTGGTGTTCCCTGTGGAGTTTTGTTTAGCCACTTGATCTTGTATTTCCCCATTTCACTTCTTAAAAATAAATGAAAATCCTATAAACAGTCAAATAAAATGTACATACCATGCCAAGTGCGCAAACTGGGAATCTATAGAAGCAGCAATTATTTCACAGTTGATCTTTTTGAAGTCTGCAACTCGGTCACTGAAAGCAATGATCTCAGTTGGACACACAAAGGAGAAATCAAGTGGGTAGAAAAAGAAGACTACGTATTTTCCTTTTGGAAGAAAGAACAGTATTATTAACAAGCACAGTACTAAAAAATCTCATCAAGACAAATCTAAATTTTAATAGAATACCAAGCATATCAGGTTTAGATATCGGTAAAATAGCCAGGACGTAGCAGGGCAATGCCAAGTTTCCACATATCTAAGAGAGCTGCCTTTCAAAAATCTTGGGAATAGGAATTGTGATCCCAGGGATTAGATGTTGTAGCTATGAGGATAGGCTTGAAAAATTGAGAAAAGGCTAAAATGGAATATAATACAGGTCTTCAAAATTCTACAGTGTATTAAAATAATAGTTGATTTCAGAAAATTTTAAAGCCATCATTTTCTAGCTTTACCTGAAGCCATGCCTTTAGTCATACCTTTGTAGCTAGATAACCTTAGTTCATCAAACTGTCCATCAGGCATCACAGCGGTGGCTTCAAAATCAGGGGCTTGCTTCCCAATTTGAGCTTTCCCAGCAGACATTCTGAATCAATCTGAAAAGCAATGTTTGACTTTAAAACTTAGGTTTCACCCACGTTGTTTCAAAAGTTTATTTGACATCTTAAAAAGTCACATGGAAAACTAGAACTTACCTTTTAATCTAAGTGTAATACAACTATGAAATATTTAAGCATAGGAATGGTGAAGTATGGGTATGATCAAAATGCACATTATAGTGCTAGAAAATACCTACGTAGCCTCAATGGGTTGAATGGTCTCCTTCTGAGTTGTAATATGTACATCTCACATTCTAAGTAGAGAGCAAAATACTAGTAGCATAAGAGCTACTTTCAAAAGTGCTTAATTCATCAGCACTGTCCCAAGGATGAAAAGATAATCATTGTAAAATGTTAAATTATAACATTTGTCCTCTTCTATCATCACTCTAATTTGTCTACTGATCTAGAAAATATGCTCCATCATCAGCCCTCTCTCTATCCACCAGTAATCCACTATAATTTGTTTCAAATATTGTTTCGTCAGATTTTAATATTTTCAAAAATATTTATTGAATACAAATATCTACAAAATACAGAATTGAGGCAAAAAGGCAAAAAAAAGTATAATACATGTCTTCAAGTACAGTAAATGGGGCCTTGATACAAACATAACACCCCTCCTCTACAAGTGAAATTTGTTGTTGTTGCTGTGCCATTATTCATTTTATTTCTGTAAACTACCAACATTCAATATACATCCTCCAGTTTTCTTAAGACAGCAAAATTAGTTTCTGCAATTTTTAGGCCAAATTTGGGCTGGACAGATCTATGACGGTAGATTTACTCGGTCACATTTTCATTCCCTGCAAAACTAGCCTTTAAACTTACTTTTCAGCCAATGAAGCATTTTAAAAAAATACAGTAGATATTCTTACATTAGCTGGAGAACACAAAGCATGATGAAAAAACTATTTGTCTTCGCTCCAGGTAATACTTTAGTAGAGATTTTCAATAATCTTGAAGAGTGTGAACAAACATCAGCATCATCGCACTAAACTATCCTGGGGTTACTAGTTCTTCAGCTACCCATCCAAAGTCCTCTGTCTAACACTATCGGAAAAAGACAAATCGCGGGTATGGTTCTTTATCCATATCCATTACTTTTAGATGTCTCTCACAAAAGTTTTCGGTTATTTGATCTAACCGATTCACACAAAGTTATCAAGCAATTTTTTTTCTTTCTGACTTTTTGAAAAAATACCACTGCAATATACAGGTTTCACTCCCTCAAATGTTTAATGAGTAAAGGCACTAAACCATACTGACACAAGGCTGCAGGGTTAAACTCTGTTCTGTGCTGTTAGCGGGCACTACGAATGACCCAAGTGCCCTTCTGGCCAGAGAAAGAAAAGAATGAACCAGGGCTCCTACTCCATACAGGAGGATCTTGTGGAGTATAAACACTGACATGGAGAAGTTGGGGCAAATGGACTGTTTCTGTGCTGCAACATTCTACATAATTCCTTCTAACATGCAAAGGTGCGAACATTCACACATAATGAGGCCCAAACCTTTGCACAGAGAAGCCCAAAACTTCTCACATGGAAAGGCCCAAAATTTCTCAACTCTCTTGACAAGTTGAACTAGAACCAACGGTCGCTGGAGTCCCGCAGGTGTGTGCCTGACGGACACATCTATCACGAGGAGGTTGCTGCTCCCTTGAGGCTGGTCGGAATTTTTCTTTAAAGTTTATTAATTTAGAAAAGGGAAGAAAATAAAAAAAAAACTCTTTCACGCAGGCAGGAACGGCGTCCCCGCCTTGTCTGCCCCGAGAATGGCCGTCCCTTTCCCCACCAGAAAGGCAGCTTTAACAAATAATAATAATAATAAAAATCCTTGCATTCGATAGAGCGCTTTTCACATCTTCTATATACGTCTCAAAGCCCTTCACAGAATATGCTACATAGTGAATTGACGGTATATTTGCGGGCGAACGACACCGGGGAATTTATTTTTTTTTTTTGAATTTCGAGTTACTTTTTTCTTTTCGCGCGCGCGGTGCGAAAGCACATCGAGAGCGCCGCCTGTCCCTGACCCAACAGTGAGATAGGTTAACGCCTTCGAGAAGAAGAGGAGGAAGAGGAGGAGGAGGATGCGGCTGAGTTTATAAGAACTTTAGCAAGTTGCCAGGCGGAAGAAGACCGAGATCCTTCTAATCGAGTTCAGCCTTCCGCCATCCTTGGGGGGGGGGGTTGGGGGGGTCAGTCGCCCGACATGTCCCGGGTACCCAAAACTATAGCCGGTACCCCCAGAGGTGATAATAATAATAATCCTTGCATTCGACGTAGCGCCTCGTCACGTCTTCCCTCAAGAAGGAAAAAAAAATCCCTCAAGAAGGGGGGAAAAAAAACAACAATAATAATTGGGTCAATTCAACCCACGGCTGTGTGTGTGTGTGTGGTGGGAGGGTGAGGGTGGGGGAGGCCGCTGTGCGCCATTGGCCGCCGCGTTTCGCCCACAAAAATACACCGTCAATTCACTTTACAGTATATTCGTTCCGGCGCCTCGGGACGTCCTCCCGACGTGAAAGGCGCTATACAAATGTCATCTTGTTGTTGTTGTTGATGATGATGATGCCCTGACCTCACGGGTATGTTCCCTGCCCGGCCCGGCCTAAACTCTACCTGCCCGCCGCCGCCGACGTCGTCGTCGTCGTGGTGGTGGTTGCCGCCGCCGCCGCCCTGTCAGAACGACGCTCTTCTCTTTCCACCGCCTTCCCGCCCGGGCGCTCGAGCCGACTGGCTTGACGGCAGTGCGCAGGCGCCGATGCCCCTCGCCCCTTCGCCCGCACGCGGGTGTCCCCGTGCGGCGCAGGCGCGGTCCGGTCCGACCCGCCCCCACCCGACCAACCGACCCCAGCGGGCCGTTGGTGTTCAAAAACAGACGGAGGGCGCGCGCGCGCGCGTGTGAGTGAGTGAGTGAGTGAGTGCGCGCGCGCGAGAGCGAGCGAGCGCTGTCGGCGGTCAGGCGCGGGGCGGGGACGGAGGTGAGGTGAGTGGCTCTCTCTGTTGGGGGGTGTTTTTTGCTCCGCGTCTGCCTCTTCTTTGTTAAACCCGTTTATTTATTAATGATATATATCGCGCGCACATATATATTTAAAAAATCGGTTTCGCTTTTCCTCATGAAAAACTAACACCCGCGACAGGAACCTCTCTCTCTCACACACACACACACACACACACACGGGCGCCTTCTTCTACACTTATTTTTTTTTCGCGTTCCTCACTCACTCACTCACTCACTCTTTATGTACTGTTGAGAGTTGGACTGAATGTGAAGGGGATGGATGGCTGTTGTCCCTGTGACTGACTGACTGACTGGAAAAGACGGGACTGAATGGCCGACCTCGTCCGCCTCCCTTCCTCTCGCCTCTTTTCCTTCACTTCACCCCCGTTCTAACGAACCGTTTTCATTGGGTTTTTGCGTTGTGTGTGTGTGTGTGTGTGTGTGTGTTGGGGGGTGGGGGGGGTGGGGGGTGAAAAGGATGTGAAAAAAAATTCTTCCTGGTTGGAGGTGGTCCCTGGCTGCTCAGTGTAAGTATCTGAGCGGATGAGGTGGTGTTGTCTGTCTGTCTGCAGTCTGTGTCTGTGTGTGTGTTAAAAAAAATAGATTGCAATTTACTATAACCATAATAACAGTAATAATCCTTGCATTTGATGCGGCGCCTCATCACGTCTTCAGGATGCCTCCGAGGGTCTCGAAGACGTGCCTGAGGCGCCCGTATCGCAGGATAGTACCGTGAAGTGAATCGACTGTTTGTACGTTGCGGGTTGAAAATCCGTATCGTTATTTATTATGGGTGTACGCGTTCGAAACGGAAAGTAACTTCATTCTTCTACTCTTCAAAGTGGACAACTTGGTTGGTCGAACGCGGGTTTTTCTGCCGTTTAGCCGAGCTTTTCGCCTACAAAACGCACCGTTGCTACACGGTAATGATAATAATATTTATCTTCGCATTTGGTATATAATAGCGCCTTATCTTATACTTTTTGGTATCTTATATTTAAGCACAATATTTACAAACTCTGATTAAAACAATTCCTTTTAAATAATAGGAAAGCTAAGTGCATGAAACATTCTTTGCTTCTTTGGAATGTAACTGAGATTAAAGTTTTTGAATCGTTGCCTTCATTGAATTTTTTTTAAAAAGAGCTTTTTTTTCTTTAGGTGAGAATGGCCACTAAGGATTATGCTGTGCTCCACACTGGACAGAAGATGCCTCTGATTGGTCTTGGGACTTGGAAAAGTGAACCTGGCCAGGTAAACCTATCGCATGGTTTCATAGGCCTACTTGGAATGCTGCAATGTCAATGACTTCCATTTATATACATACACAATCAAACTTGCACTTTTCAAAAGGAAAAAATGGGGAAGCATGTTTTTTTTGCTGCATTCTACATAAATTTTAGAACTGAAGTGTTTCATATGCAACTTACCAAAGTGTGTGTGTTTGTGATCCACTGCCTTGGGCTGCTGCGTTTATAAAGAAAACATTTTTATATTCCAGTGCTGACGGCAATACAAATGTGGTTGAAAAACAGCACTTGTTCAGTTACATTTGGTATGCAGAAGCCAGTATTTTAAGGAAAATATTCAGGTTTCTAACTGGCACATGATCCACACAAGTTTCCTGTTTACAGCACTGTGGTGTTGTTAATCAGCCAGCTAGCTATAAACTGCAACAAGCTGCATCTTTGTGTTTTTTTGTTCATTTTTGTTTGCCCTTAGGTGCAAGAAGCTCTTCAGCATTCCTTGGAGATTGGTTATCGTCACATAGACTGTGCTGCAGTGTACAACAATGAAGCTGAAATTGGACATACTTTGCAAGAGAAAGTTGGTATTGATAAGGTAGGTTAGAAGTGAATTTAAAATGCCCATTGATGAGAATTGCAATTGAGAAATGTGACATAGACTGTTTTAGCACTAACATATGCTGTTGGGATTAGCCATTCACCACTTTTGCAGGAAGATTCTAGCAGGGAGAAAGACATTGACTTACTCATACACCCATTATATCTACTGTACACACTAACATTTTTTGCAGTGGGTTTATGTAACTTGTAAATCAACCAACACCCCCAATACTGTCTAGAGTATAGTGTAGTTTTTATCAGGCTAAAATGGGTCAGTTGTCTTTTGTTAGTTCAACTATATGAACATATCAATTTATTTCAACTAACAATACCAGTGCAGGTAACCTCTTGCTTAAATGCTTATTGTGGTAACTGATGCTTCCTTTAAGATTAATGGCCCAGTGTGTCCCCTCTGACATCACTTTCCCTTGGTAGACCTTTTTAGAGTTTGTGTATTTGAGCTGTGTTCGTGGAAAAAGAGATTAGAATATAGGATTGACTTTATTTCACATTATGTTAAAGGGGATGGAACTTCTACAGAAATATTTTCTGTTCAAAATGCTCTTAACTTTGTTAGGAAATATAACATTGTGAAGGATTATCTAGAACTGGCATCTCTATCATTGTAAACACTATTTTATAATCTTCTCACATTTTAAATAGAGGCTCAGGAATTTCAACTGACTCAAACCATGGTTCCTTTCCCACTTGGTCCTGTTGAACTAGCCCATGTCAGCTTTTCTCGATTACAATTCAATTTGTAACTTTTAAGTTATACTTTTTGGTATAATTTGCTTGTAAGACAGACTTGTTTTGTTAATGCATTATTAATCATTCACCATGATCCAAGTAGTTATGGATTTGTTTCTAAAGTTTCAAACATACTCCTGTTTACTGCCAAACTACTGCCCAAAATTAAGATGCTTGCAAATTGTAAAGTTGGTGTCTATTTGAAAATTAAGATCATGTACACTTTTGTTTCTTTTCCCTCTTTCAACCACCTCTCATTCCCAAATCATATTTTTCTCTTATAGCCTGTAAGCCGAGAGGATATTTTTGTGACCTCCAAGTTGTGGAACACCAAGCATCATCCTGAAGATGTGGAACCTTCGTGTCGTAAATCCCTGAAGGATCTGAAGCTTACTTACCTGGATTTGTACCTAATTCATTGGCCACATGGATTTGAGTAAGTTGCCAGTCGTAAAATGCCAATTGTGGTCATACAAGCAATCTCAATACTCGAATAACTAATTTTACGCTTCCAGAAAGATGCCCCAGGACCATATGGTAGCTAAACCACATGGAATTGTTTAATTCATTATAATAATACTTGCATTTGATATTGTGCTTTTTACATCTTCTAAAAGTGCTTCACAGAGTATACTGTAAAAGTGAATTGACTATATATTTAAATTACATTAAAAACAATTGTTAAGCAGTACTGATTCCTTTGCTGTCCTGGATAAAATCATAGAGAAAACAGCAATGTTATTGTATTTTTTTATGAATGAAAGGTTTGAACAATGGATAGCGCTCTAAACCTACAGAATAACAAAAATTTGATTCAACCTGCTTTAGTAAGTAAGATTATATAATCCTTGCATTTGATATATAATAAGCCACATTATCTTCTTTGCACGGAATATTACCTACAAAACTGGTTTGCATGTTTTGTCAATGTATTGATTTGGCCTAGACATTAGTTATTAAATCTTAGTCTGTTAAGAAGTAATTTCAATATGGCTTGTATATGCTGTACTGGTGTTATAAGCAGTATAAATGTGTTGCACTTACAATTTCATTTTTGTTTTATAGACGAGGTGATATTGCCTTCCCCAAAAATCCTGACGATACAATGCGTTATGATTATGTTGATTATAAGGAAACATGGAAAGCTATGGAGAAACTAGTAGACAAAGGCCTTGTGAAAGCTATTGGACTTTCAAACTTTAACAGCCGACAGATTGATGACATTATCAACATAGCTACAATCAAACCTGCAGTATTGCAGGTATGTGGTTGTTCTTAAACCTCTCAAGAAAGTATAATATTCTGGTCCCACATTTCATAGGTCAGGCCAGGGAGGTTGCTTATAACTGAGCTGTCTTCTTTCAAGATTCCCAAGTATGACCTATCGATTGCCAATAGCCTGCATTAGCATTTTTTTTCTGGCTTGTCATTTCATGCCATGTAATTGCTGTAGGGAATTCTATTGCTTCATTAGAACTCATTTTTTTGTGTGTGGTTGGGGTATGGACCTCATTTAAAAGTCTTAAAATGCATGGGCCTGATCCATCATCACGTCAAAATGCCATCCAACTTTGAGAAGCTTCCCCGTTGTTTCACTGACACCTTTATAGCACTGTTAGAATTACTTAATTCCTCAACTATCGTGTTATAACAGGGCATCACCATATATAAGACAACTAGTCAGGACGTTTAGGGCAAGGACATGAATTTCTATAAATTTGGGAGTAAGGGTGGGTGAGAGTTTTTGCTCTGCATTCCAAGTTGGTGAGTACAAGTTCCATCGTATATTGGTATGGATGTCTTGTTCTTTAATCTTGTTGTTAAACTAATTTTGCTCCATATTGAGAACTAGGTCAGAGTCCGGAGACTTTGTTTGAGAAAATTGTTCTTGTGCATTTTCCAAGGTTGAATGTCATCCATACTTGGCCCAGAATGAATTGATTGCACACTGCCAGAAACGTGGGTTAGTGGTGACTGCATACAGTCCTCTTGGTTCCCCTGATCGGATGTGGAGAAAAGCAGATGAGCCTGTGTTGCTTGAGGAGCCCAGCATTGTATCTCTGGGAAAGAAATATGGGAAATCACCTGCTCAAGTTGTTCTCAGGTATAGGATTTTAAAAATTACTGTTAATTTTTATGGCAATTTTAAATATTCATTTCAGGGTGTTTGGATATGATTTTTAAAAACTCCTTAATCGAAAGGTGGTTTCAGGTGGGATCCTTTATCCGTACTGGATAGATTTACCATTTCATTGTAGGAACTATTGAAGACATCGGATTCAAATTGAGAGTCGATCCACAGAAAAAGGTTGTTACAAGCCTTATCTCCTGCAAGATCTTACTAACGCTTTTCTAAATACTCATTTACAAAACTTTGTAGGATGAAAGAGTGATCATTATAGCACCAACTGTGTTGAATTTTGACTATTCAGATCCGGTGTTGGATTCTTAGGCATGGATTTGTTCACAACCTCAAACTATCTAGGAATAATTGCTTTGTTCAGCAGATAACCTATTGATGCAAAAGGGTTTATCAAAATAATTATATGTAGGAAGAAGATGGTAAAATGAACATTTCACCTTTTCTCTTGTTTAATTTGGTCAGAAACATACCACCTTGTTTTGCAGCTAGTGATTCTATTTGTCCTGATTTAAGGAAGGAAAGTGTTGGCTTCTTACAACTTTGAATTGACCTGTTTTCTCTGTGTCGACCTTATTTAAGCTTTTTCTTTTACTCTATAGGTGGCAGGTGCAGCGTGGAGTGATTGCCATTCCCAAAAGCGTCAATCCAGCCCGAATTGCACAGAATATCCAAGTAAATTGAAACTTTTCCTAATTTAAGTTAATAAGGTAGCAAATTTTCAAAAATTAGTCACTCACTTTGTGTCTGTATGTGGGACATTGCAATTGCCTGTCATGCTTTGCCCACAATATACAGTGTATCCTGTGAAGCGCTTTAAGACATCTCAACGATGTAATAAGGTGCTATGCTAAATGCAAGGATTATTATAACTTCAATAGCAATATAATAGAATGACCAAAATCTCCAATGGGTGGTGACTTCAATCAATATCATTTTGAAATCTATTAATCTTGTGGCTATTAAAATGGTCCTCCAGGCTTAATTTTCCACCATCTTAATTTGAAAAATAGAGAGAAAACCCTGATAGGAAGTGAAAATGCCTGACTTCCAGGGCATTAGGTCACTGCTGTCGTTTGCTGAGCGCTGTGCAAACACAAGAATGACGGAAGTGATATTAATGTTGATCTAACGAAAATCTATTTTTGTGATGTTTGGAAGTGACATTAGGAGTTCACTATAATAACACTTCACTGTAATACACGTTTATAAAATGTATCTGAATGTCAGGGTCCACAAACTATAAGTAAACGTGTATCATAGTGAAGTGATTTATACTTGGGTTCTACTGTATATACTAATTTGGCTGAATGTTTTCACAAATGGTGTAAATGGAAACTCTCTTCTAGGTGTTTGATTTCACTCTAACTGAGGATGAAATAAAAATAATTGAAAGCTTGGACAGGAACTGGCGATATATTGTTCCACTGATCACAGTAAGTTATTAGATTTTTTTTATATGGAGTTCCACTTCAAGTGCTCATCAAGTGCAGCAGAAANTTTTTTAAAGAAAATATTCCACTTGCTGGCGGTCTGGATCTATACAGTGTCCCTTCGCCTCCTTCAAGACCGGTCTCAAGACCCTCCTTCAATCGTGTTGTCAGTCGCCCTCCCACCTCTCTGCCTTCCCTCACCCCTATCTCAGCCCTCCCCCATGCTTGGATCCTGACCCCTGACTGTCCAGCGCCTTGGGACGTCCTCCCTACGTGAAAGGCGCTCTATAAATGTAATTTTGTTGTGTGTTTATCTACTAATTCTTTTTCTTGCTAATACAGGTTGATGGCAAATCTGTACCCAGAGATGCTGCCCATCCACTTTACCCCTTCAATGATGCCTATTAGTGATTAGCTGGATGACCATATGCCTCGTCTCTGTGCATTGTTACCAACCTCTTGAAACGTTTACTGCGTAATCCCATTTAAAGAAATTTGTAATGGATTGTATTACATTATTTGTATGCTTTTGTTATTGATGTACCAGTATACCTACTAATTCATTTGAAAGCAAGGGATGATTCTCTAATATTCAGTAAATAATCGATTTTGGTGAGTGAGCACATCCAATTCTCTGCTGTGTGGTAATTTTACTGACAATTAAAGACCTTTTCCTCCCTCCCCCACTACCCTCTCTTCCCCCCCCACATACATTTGAAACCAAATTGAGGTGAAACTGATTTCCAATTACTCACACTTAACAGAGTCTTTTCCCCCTCCCCTTTTGTCCAAATTTCACAAAGATAAATCTAAATAATTTGAGGTTTGCCCTTGTACTAAGAAATGATTTTCTCTGGCAGACCATGATACAGTTGTCCTTAGGACATGAATAAAGGTTCAATGGGTCCAGATACTTTTATGACATCACAAAATTAAATTTTAACTTCTTGCTCAGGTTCTAATATACATTATGGCCTTAACTTGCTTAACAGGAGTGCCAAACAGGCTTATTTAAAGACTCTGACTATTCTGATTAGCTGTGTCTTACCACTTAAGGTGAATTACAACATAAGAACAAGAATACACCATTCAGCCCCTCAAGCCTTTTCTGCCATTCTATTAGATCATGGCTGATCTGTACCTCAATTTTACAACTATAAAATGATCTCAACTCCAATTGTACAACCTTGGCAGCTCAGTTGAGTGCCAATATTACCAGAGGTTTTCTAGACATGTGCACAGCGGAATTAGGGGACGGGATTGGGAAGATGTCACCACATTACCATTGAAATGGTTGAGTGCTCTAGTTGCTGCAACATTACAATAAGTAATCGCTGGAAATCTCAAATAAGACAGTTGTTTCTAGATTAAAAGTAAAGCTTCTGATAGTCATTCTGACCAATGTCTCTTGATAAGTTTAATATTGAATTTTGCCTGAAATATTCCTTTAAAAAGTGGCTATAAAAATAAAGTATATTTTCAATGTGATGATTAATGGATGGTGGGTTATATCAAAAAAATCTTGATTATCCTTCTGCTTTATATTACAAATGTATAAACACTAGATGCTTGTCAAGTCTCATGGTTGTAAAAATGGCATTAATAAATTCCAGAGCTTTATTTGTTCTGTTCTTGGTTCTTTTGGATTGCATTGCATTTTTTAATTATGTGAGTTTAAGAGGGTGCCACTTAAGACAACTTTGACCCAGGGACATTGGCCTTTGGAAAAACTAAGGCAAGAGTTTTCAAATGCTGAAAATTAGTCACCATCTTAAAACATTTTGCCCCAAACCTTTTGATTTAAAAACCTATCAGTTATTGCTGCAGTTGTGGATTCATTTGCAATTGCTTCATTCAATTCAGACAGAGACATGTACAATCGAACCTCGGTACAAATTCATAGAAACCAACACACTGGATTATGTGAAGAATTTATTTATAATAAAGATAAGAGTTACCCAAGATTAATTCAGCTTCCATGGGAATTAGACAAGCACCTCATGGTGATTGAGAATTCCAATGTAAGATTGAGGTGACAAAACCTGTTAAAGACATAAACTTCCTGATGTTGCTGTTAACTTTGGGACTGTGTACTCTCTCAGCGCGGGCTGCTTGTGTTCATGGATTTCAAGTCATGAGCCCTTATTGATAGAGCCACTCCACCATTCACTGCTATTTGTGGCAGTTGTCAACCAGGTGTTTGCTGATGTTCCACAGCTGGGTGGTTTGTTTCAGTGCCTTTGAAGCACCACAGAGAAAACGTTTCCTTGTTCCAGAGCATACACTTAAGCAGATGGTCTTTGGGTATTCCGACAACTTGATCAGTCCAGCACAACTACTCATGATATAGTCATGATGTCAATATGCGTGGAGTCCTGAAGCTCAGGGGTTAGAGCACTCTCAAGCGAGAGACATGCGTTTGATTCCCGACGGGGCTGAAGTTTCTTTACTCCACACACACTCCTGTTTACCTAGCAGTAAGTAGGAACCCAGTTGTTAGTCGATTGGCGCTTTTGTGGGGGTAATAATACCTTCNAAAAAGAATAAATTGGTCACTTCAATCCAAGACTGTTTGTGGGACACCGCTGTGTGCAATTGGCTGCTGCATTTTGCCCACAAAATATACAGTCAATTCACTTTACAGTATGTTCTGTGAAGTGTTTTGAGACGTCTCAAAAGATGTGATAAGGAGCTAATATCAAATGCAAGGATTATTATTATTACTACTATCAATATTCTGCTCTGGACAGGACTCCCATTTTGGTGATCCTATCTTGCCAGAGAGTGCTTGTGAACATTTTTTTTATGGACGAATGTGTGAGAAGAGAATAGTGGTTTAGGGATAAAGGAAAGGAAGAGGAGGGGTGAGACTCGCGTGGAGTACAAACAGCAGCCCAGACTGGTTGGGCCAAATGGCCTCTTTCTGTGCATTAGAAGGTGCGACACCAAACGGAAGGATTATTATTAACTTCGCCCGTTTGGAACGTGGTACAGCAACCCCCCCCTTTTATGTAATAATAATAATCCCGGCCTTTGCTCGGGTCCAGCGGCCTCATCGCGCCTCCGGGGGCGTCTCGCAGCGCTTCACGGGATACACCGCCAAGTGAGTTGGACCGTACGAGTGCAGCCGCTGTATGTGTTTGAGAACAAACCCGAAAGATCCATCATTTGAAGCAAATCCAGTCCAATGACAATGAATATATATATACATAGAGAGAGAGAGATCATATGGGTACAGATAGATAAAAAAAAATCACAGCTGGGGGCCCTTTAAATGTTTTCCCGCCACTTTGATTGCCCCGCGGGGGAGGAGCGGAGGGGGCGGGGTGAGAGGTGAACCGGAAGTGACGTTCGGTGAGGTAAATAAAAGGCGGGAAGAGGAGCGCTTTTCGTCCGCAGCCATATTTTTAAACCGAACGGCTCTGAGGGAGAGGAGAGGAGAGAGAGAGGGAGAGAGACCGGGCACAGGCAGAGGGGGAGAGAGAGAGAGAGAGAGAGAGAGTGAGTGAGTGTGAGAGGGGGAGTGCAGGAAAAAAAAACTCTGGAACCGATTATTTCGTGTTTTTTTTCCCTCCCTCTCCCCCCCCCCCGCCGGAAAAAAACACACAGAGAGGTAAATCCCCGCCGTTTTGAGAGCCGCTGCCGAGGGCCCCGAGACCTGGGAAAGTCGTAATAATAGCACAACCCACAAACAAATAAATAATAAACCAGAGAGAGGGAGAGAGAGGGAGCATTGGAAATGGCGGATAAGGAACCCAGCGCCTCGACGTCTACCCGCAGCGACCTGGACAGCGTGGAGGGGTGAGTGGCGGTGGGTGAGCGGTGGTGGTGGTGGGGGGAGCCTTCTCCCTCACTCCGTCCCCCTCCCTATCTCCCTCCGTCTCGTCGTTCCCCTTTCCTCCCTCTCCTCTTCTTCCTCTCTCTCTCTCCTCTCTCCCCCCCCTCTTTGTCTCCCTCTCCCCCCTCCCTCCTCCCTCTCTCCCCCCTCACGGCTGTTGCTCGGGGTCGGTGACTGTTGGGGTGAGGGGGGGGTGTGAAGAACTGTAAAGGCTCCTCTTTGTGTGTGTGTGTGTGTGTGTCGGGGTTTCCAGCCTTTCCATTGGGCGGTTGTTGTTGTGGTAGTGGTTACCCCCCACACCCCGCGCTGTTGTTTGGGTTGTTTTGCTGCAATGTGGAACGTCTCTCTCTCTCTCTCTCTCTCCCCCCCCCTCTCCTCCCCCCCGAGAGCACAGCGCGGTGCAAAGGCAAGTGATGGTGAGGGGGACGAGCGTTTTAGTGACGATCCCAACTCACCACTCACTTCTGCTGGTTATCGGATCCCCTCGCTCACTAGCTTTACCCCCCCACTCCCCTCTCCCTCCCCCCCCCCTCCCCTCTCTCTCTCTCCTCTCCCCCCCCCCCACTCCCCTCTCTCCCTCTCTCTCCCCCCCCCCACTCCCCTCTCTTCCCCCCTCTCTCCTCCCCCCCCACTCCCCCTCTTCCCCCTCTCTCCTCCCCCCCCCACTCCCCTCTCTTCCCCCCCTCTCTCCTCCCCCTCCTCTCTTCCCCCTCCCCCTCTCTCTTCCCCCTCCCCCTCTCTCTTCTCCCCCTCTCTCCCTCCCCCCTTCCTCCTCTCTCCCCCCCTCTCCCCCCCTCCTCTCTTCCCCCCTCCCCCCCTCCTCTCTCCCCCCCCCCTTCCCCCTCTCTCTCCCCCCCTTCTCCTCTCTCTTCCTCCGCGGCAATTTCATTGTTTTTTTTCCCCAAAAGAAATGCTCTGCGCGTTTCTCTCCTCGCTCGCGAGCCTGGTTTCTGTGAAGGAGGCAGAGGTTGTTGCAAACGATCGCGGTTCCTCTTGTGATTCCTCCCCCCTCCCTCCCTCCCCCACACACACACAACCCCACACAGACACACAGACTGGTTATCTATCTACTCCCGAGGAATCCCCCTCTCGTGTCGCATCGTTTTGTCGGCGGTGCGATATACAAACAGATCACCGTATGTCCCTTTGACCCACGTTAGATGTGGCTCCTCACAGAGAGGATTGCGCTCTCAGTGAGGCTTTTGTCCACTGGTAAACCGGATCGTCCAGTCTCACAGCCACGAGTGGGGAATCATTTCAACTGAAAAGAAAATGAGTGTGTGTGGGTAACGAATGACCATTGTGGTAGAAGTGCTTGAGGTGTGGGTGTGGGGTGTTATTAACTACAAGACCGTAGGTTTAATTTGCTGCAGCTTTCCCTGTCTCGACCTTTCTGGGATTGGAGCAATGGGAACAATAGGGAGTAAGTACTCGGTGCACGTGTGGAGAGGGTAAAGTCTCGGCCAGTGCGGGGTTTTGTGCCTCTTGTGGATTTAGAAAATTGAATTTAGCTGTTTTTTTTTTCTTTTCTTTTGCACGTCGACGGAAGTGACCATTGCCATCAACTCGTGAAGTTCCAGCGAGTACCAGTCTTATGCTTTTTTTGTAGCTTTAAAAAGTTCGAGCACCAAATAGTTCGAATGTTACCAATAAAATAACTAAATAATAAATGGCGTTAATAATAATTTGGGCACTCAATCCATGACTGCTCGCGGGACGCTGCTGCGCGCAATTGGCTGCCGCGTTTCACCCACAAAATATGCGGTCGGTTCGCTTTACAGTATATTCTGTGAAGCGCTTTGAGACGTCTTGAAGACGTGATAAGGCGCTTTATTAAATGCAAGGATTATTATTATTATGATTAGTTTCCTTTCCAAACTCTTGTTCCGCCTGGAATGGCATTTAGCGTTCTGGAACTGGCAGTGTTTTTTTAAAAAAAAGTTAACATTTTCTTTGCAAAGAACATGTTCAGAGGTATGCATAACTAATCCAAAATGCTGCCTTCTGCTTACCAACTTGAGTTCACTTTACTTGGAACAGAGCCATTTTTAAGTGAGGCATGTCAGTTTGTGAGTAGGTTCAACAATGCTCGTCTTATCTCAAAATTCACTTCAATGCACATATTTTTTAAAAAAGGCTGAAAATAGTTTGAAGAAACACATTTTCAGATATTTCCTGCCTCAGTTTAAACTTGCTGTATTACTTTAATTGTCAATATTATATAATCTTTGTGTGTGATTCAAGTGCTATTCAGTCAGAAGGAGGCTCAAACACTTAACAGGATTTATTATAAAGTAACTTTTATTAGCAAATGTCAGTTTGTGGCAAGGAATTTCTTGGGCAGCTTATATTACAAGTGGTGATCAATAACAAAGATGAATGAAGACTGTTTTGTTTTAATTTTAAAAAAGTTCAAAGAAGTTTGATTTCATATAAGAGAGATTACCACAGGTATAGAGAAGCGCTTTCAATGTAGTGTGTAACAATCTGGTTTGAAGAGATCTTGTTCAGTTATATGAACACTTAATTTCACCTCATCTGCAACCAATATATAAATGGGAATTGCTGCTTCCCATCACTTTATAAATTGTTCTTAGTCTTCCTGTAGTTTGGAGACTAATCATTGCTTCATTGTATTGGTGATTGGAACCTTGGATTGTACTTGTAAATACCATCTGCTAAATTTCCTGCAATAAAAACTCACACAGGAACCTTGCGTTTCATCTCTTCTACTTTATGTGGCACTTTTAAAAGCCTGTTTCCCCTTTGTATTGTCCTGCGCCGACTTACAGAGCTTTAAATGGAACTCCAGTGCGTTTTATGGCTATTCTGGTGACAGGAATGGAGCATTTTGCTTGGATTGAGGTTGAATGTGATGGAGATGGAAAACGTGAATGTTAACAAAGATTGGTCTAGCTAGCAAAACTCTTGGAGGATGTGTACAGTCAATCACCTGTGAGGCAATGCAGGTGGTTCCAGCATAATGTATGTCTTGTTATAAGACTTAGTTGTACTGTACATCTTATGCGTGAGATATGGCTTTTTTGTCTTTGAACTGGAGGATACCATTAACATTTTTCTATTCTAGGACTAACTGTGTAGAAGCAATGAAGCTACTTGGAACTGGAAAGAGACACATGGTAATGCAGGACTTTCTAGCAGCTGTCAATGCCTTTCAGGATGCGTGCAGATTGTTGTAAGTATCTTTTGATCAAGTCTGATATTAATAAAGACTATATATTGAGATACACCATTGATTCATATTGTATGTATTTGTATACAGACTATTTGTTCATCTCCCTCTTTCTATCCTCCCAGGAGCACAAAGCATGGAGAGATGGCAAATGAATGTGGAGAAGCCTACTTCTGTTATGGAAAAGCCCTTCTGGAGTTGGCAAGGTTAGTCTAGAAATAGATCAACATTGTCAAAGATTTTTTTTAAGCTGAACTTTATGATTGCAACTTGGTGATCAATTTGTGAACTTGTAGCTTAACTGAGCGCTATCCAGTGGTTATTCAATGCATATTTTACAAATGATTGCAAGAGAAATTGCACTCCATCTCATCTTTTAGAATGGAGAGTGGGGTTCTTGGCAATGCCCTGGAGGGAGTTCCAGAAGAAGATGACGATGATGATGAAGAGGAAGATAATGATGATGAAGAGGCTACAGCAGCACCTGCAAAGGATTCCAAAATAGAAAGTGCAGGACATATGAACGGTGAGTATCTAGATTGTTGAGCAATATTAGCATAGTTATCTAGGAGAGAGTGATGTTGTGGTTGATCAACGCTTTGCACATTGCTCCTACAGACCTTCACCCATTTGCTTGCCTTAGTGTGGAGTGGCTGTGTCAAGCGGTTTTGCTGTTGTACATTTGCAATAAGTTAGTGTGATGTATAAATGCCATAAGTGACCCCCACAAGGACTGTTTAAGTTTTAGGTAATCTTCCACCACTCCATTCCTCTTCATACTGAGATAAATAGGTCTTGAGGAACTACTCTACCCTGGTGTTTGAGAAAGGAAAGTGCTTTTACCATTCCAGAATTTTTGCTCACCCCTGGAGTAACTTTTAAGTCAGTTTTTAACTTGCTTGCTTAAGACATACATGCAAATTGCAAATACATTTTTTATGACTAGAGCCATTTTAAATGTGGAAACCCAGTATTATAATAGTAATAATAATAATCCTCACATTTGATATAGCACCTTTCACGTCTTCTCGACGTCCCAAAGCGCTTCACAGAATATACTGTAAGGTGAATTGACTGTATATTTGTGGGCGAACCCGGCAGCCAATTGCGCACAGCAATGTCCCACAAACAGTCATGGATTGAAAATGACCTATTTATTATTGGGTTTTTTTTTTTGGAGGGATTATTATTAGGCTCTGTGTGGAGTAAGGAAACTTGCCCAAGGTTTCGCCCTCTGCCTGGAATTGAACTCGGGTCTCTCACTTGCAAAGCGAGTGCTCTGACCACTTAGCTACAGGAGTCCGCAGTATTGTAATCTAGACTTTACATGCAGATGGAGGATAACAACAACAACAAAATCACATTTGTATAGCGCCTTTCACATTGGGAGGACGTCCCAAGGCACTGGACAGGCAGAGTTATGGACCCGTGGTGGAGCCAGGGGGGAAGCAGGGAGATCGAAAGCACGGTTGAAGAGGTTGGGTCTTGAAGGTAGCAAGGGAGGGGGCGAGACGGAGGGACTGCAGGATGGAGTTCCAGGGGGTGGGTGCACAACGCCCACCTACCGATAATGTGGCGAGCAAGGCAGGGAACGTGAAACAGGTGGGAGCCCGCTGAGCGGAGGGAGCGAACAGGATGGTAGGGGGTTAGGAGATTGGAGAGGTAGGGGGGAGCAAGACCATGAAGGGCTTTGAGGGTGAGGACCAGGATCTTGAACTGTATTCTCTGTGTGATTGGAAGCCAGTGGAGTTGGGCAAGAATGGGGGATAATAAATAGGGTCTCGGAGCCTGGTGCGGGAGAGGACACGGGCTGCAGAGTTCTGGATGATCTGCAGCCTGTGGAGGGAGGAGTTGGGGAGGCCAACAAGCAATGAGTTTGCATAGTCGAACCTCAATGTAATGAAAACATGTATGAGGGTTTCAGCGGTCTGCAGTGTGAGGCGGTGTTGGAACCGGGTGACGTGTAGGTGGGGGAAGGCAGAGCGGATCATGGGGCAGATGTGGAGTAGAAAGGATAGTTGAGGGTCAAACAAGACCCCAAGGTTCTGGGCTGACTTAGCAAGGTGGAGTGTCCAACTGTGGATGGTGAAGCTGAGGTGCGCCTGAGGTGAGGAGGCACTGAAGGGAGCCAGTCAGGGGTGCCTCGGTCTTGTTGACGTTCAACTGAAGAAAGTTAGTTCTCATCCAGGACGTGATGTCTGACAGACATTCTGTCAACACAGCAGTGGGTCCTGGAGTCGAGGGTGGAGGCAGAACGGTAGAGTTGGGTGTCATCCACATACAAGTGGAAGTTGACCCCATGTCAGAACAAGGAAACATCTCTTCAAGTGGTTGCCTGGGTCCAATATGCATTCCGGTGGAAAATTAGTGGACCTTTGTGTGAACCAGTTACTACTGATGTTATTGTGCATGTGCACATCTTGCAGAAAGTGACATTAGTGACTGGCTGAGAGCCCAGTCATCTGCCTTTTTAAGTGCAGGAAGTTGTTTCTCCTGTACTTGCAAGTATGCAACCTGTGAACAGGATAGATTGTAATAGTTAATTAGGTATGAGCCCACAGTGATTTGGATAGAGAATGGAATATTGTGTAATCCTCTCAAATCTACTCCTGTAGTAACTGTAGTAACTCTTGTCCCCATTGATAAAGCGGAAAATATGAAATGATCATATGAGTTGGCAAATCTGCCTGTTAAAAGGGGATTGAAGTTGCATCATTTATTCTGCTAAACTGAAAATAATTACTTCATTGGCCCTTCCTCTGCTCAGTGCACAAATTCTAGGTTAAAATTTTCTGTTGAAAGATTGAACAAATTGGACTGACTTGTCCATACACCTCAATATGGTGGTGGAAAGATTTGTTTCTCAGTAACTGTTGTATTTAGAGCCACTGATTGGAGACAGATGTGCCACTGTTGTGATCTTGTGAAGTTCTGCCCATTGAGAACCTAACCACAGCACACTTCAGTAGTCCATAGCATTTCTGCACGAATGTCTGCTCCAAGCAATCTGACCAGCAGTCCCAGCTGTAAAATACCTGAAATCCCAATACATCTAGGTTTTTTTTGGCAACAGAGTTATAAGTGGAATTTACTTATCTATGTTGACTGACCTGTTACATTGGTATTTTTGATGATCATTTCTATTCTAACCCCTGTTCTGACTTTTCAGTTAACGTCTAACTTGAGCAGAGTTGGTAAGCAGGAATTGGTGCATTACCTGGGTCGCCTAAAGGGAACAAAATGGGTTGGGTGGGGGGGAAGAAGAGAAACTGGGATTGGTAAAGTTGGTAGTTTCCCTGACTTTATGCATTGGACCTAACTTCCTTCAGTCTTGTTTTACAACCTACTTGCCTGCTCTTCACTGAATAAAATCTCTCTTATCCCTCATTGCCTTGGATAGATACTTTATTTTCTTTTTCACTCTCCTTGTGAACTTGTCCAGATAAAATCTCATCCAGACTATTGATGGTGATTAGCCAAACTGAACATTTTACGCATTCTTTTTCCTTAACGTGTATAGAAAAAGAGAGGGATGAATTGAGGGAACAGGTGTATGCAGCACTAGCAGAAGAAAGCAAGCCAGCAGAAAGTGAGGTTGCATCTAAAGCTGACGGTGATCAAGGTGGAAAGGAAGAAAAAGTTGATCCTATGGAAATGAGCAATACTGACAAGGATGAAGAAGTCAAGTGCCCTACAAACAAGGAGAGCCCTGACCAGAATGAAATGAAGACCATTGACCAAAACGATGCTGGACAAATGAAGGGAAAAGGAGATGGCCTTCAGGAGGAGGAAGACTCTAGCAAGGAAATAAAGAAAGGGATTTTGCAGGAAGAAGATACTGATTGTAAAGAACAAGTGGGAGCAGGCAAAGAGGCTACAGTAGATCTCCCTGTGGAAAAGGATGATGATGAGGAACAAAAGGATTCCACCAAGGAAGCAAAGGCTGATGCTGAAGCTGGAAAACAAGCAACAGAAGAAGTCCAGCCTATGGAGAAGGTTGAAGGTGAGAAGGATGAAGCCATGGAAGAAACTGTACAGATCGATGCTGGCAAGAAGGCAACTGTAGAGAGCCAACCTATAGAGAAACAAGCTGAGGATTCCACCAAGGTAGAAATAGTACAGAATGATGATAGCAACAAGATAGCAGAAAAGGACCATCCTATGGAGGAGACTGGGGATATCAAGCCGGCGGAAGCTGCCAAGGAAGAAAGTGTCCAGATTAGTGCTGCTAAATTGACAACTGGAGAAGATCATCCTCTGGAGAAAGGTGATACCATCGTAGACCAAGTCCCTCCCGTGGAAAGGACTGCTCCAGCAATGGTGGATGCAGATGTCGCTGGTAAAAGTGAACTGGAAGGAAAAGCCATTTCTGATGGGGTTAAGCCTGGCAAAGATGAGGAAAAAACTGCCATTCCTGTGAAGATCGAAGAATCGGATAAAAAATCTGTTACGGATGAAATGAAAAATGAAGGCGAGAAAGAAAGTCAGAATATTGTCAAGGAGGAAGTTCTTAAAGAGGCTCAGGAACCAATTGAAGATACATTTGAGAAGTCTCATACTGATGATCAAGAGGAGGAACAAGCCAATCCTGAAGAACCAATGGAAGAGGGTGAAGGTATTAAAATAAGAATAAGTGTTCAGACTTACAAAGCTAACCAGTTTAAATTAAATGATTAAAGGAAGAACCTCGTGAAATGTATGCAATTCTCTGACTTGCTTTGAGTTGAAACTAATGACTAGTATCCAAATTCAACACAACTGGTTTTTGAATGCTTAGTAAATCTGTCCACTTAGCTGTACTTTGAAGAGCACAAAAGGGAATGGAAACAGCTGTTACTCACTGGGGATAAAACTGCCTTCAATGGTTATGACTACAGAAGGCAGTCTTTTAGAATAAAACAACAATGCATGAATCTTGACACTATTGTAGGTGTATAAAAGCAGGGTTGAAAATCTTTGCAAACTTATGTTCAATGTTTCCTTTGCGAATGTTAAATCCTGCCAGGCTTAAGTAAAGGAGTATTAAATATCTTGAGTAACTTCCTCTTCTAGAACACCCAAAAAAATGCTTTGCATTATCCTTGCAGACCATTGATCTGGTATGATTCCTTGCATGTGGACCACTCTCGAGGTTGACTATTAGGATAGTTTAGTAAAATCCACCTGCTGGAAACTTCACAATACCAACAGCTTTACAGCTGTTCTCTTAATTTTGATCTTGTGCGAAGTCCTTGACAAGACTGACCAACTTTTATAATTGGCTGTTTCAAGGTTTATTTGCATTCACAAAAATGGATTGGAATTTTCAAATGGTTAATTGTACTTTTAAGTTCATAAGATGTGCATTTGAGTCCATCACACACTTGGATGTGTCAAGTGATATTAGTATGCCATTCGGTACCTTAAACCCGACTCTCAAAGTTGCTTAGAACTCACTCCAGAAGATTTCTTAACTACTAGAATGTGACATGTTACCTAAGCAAATGTCTCTCCAAACTAAATTACGATGGAAATATTTTCAGCCCTGTGACTTATTAACCAGATTGTACAATTTTTTTTAACAAATGAAGTTTTTATTCCTAAATTTAAAGCCGTAACCAATGTTTTTACAGATGCTTCCTGTGCTACAGAAGGGAGTGAAGATGAGAAGGAAGAGGCTCCCGTGGAGAAGGTGATACTTTATCGTATAATAATCCTTGTATTTTATACAGTGCCTTATCATGTCTTCGAAACGCCTCAAAGCGCTTCACAGAATATACAGTAAAGTGAATTGACTGTATATTTTGTGGGCGAAACACAGCAGCGAATTGCGCACAGCAGCGTCCCACAAACGGTCATGGATTGAGAGATCAAATTATTATTTTTATTTGAAGGTATTACCCCCGTAAATACTAAGTATCTTCAAACACTAATAACATGAGGTTTTATTTCCTGTGAGTTTAATGCAGACATTTTATTTGTAGGACGCAGAAAGTGAGGAGGTTGATAATTTGCAACTGGCCTGGGAAATGCTCGAATTGGCAAATGTAATTTTCAAAAGGTAAGACCAAGCATCCTGAATTGTAGAAAGCTGCTCTTCCATCTTGTCCCTTCTAATCTGGAAAACCAACCCAATGCAAGCAATTTATTTAGTTAGTTGCCTCTTAATAAAGGGCTCAGCACCACCCAGTTGAGAAGGATGGAATTTGTTTTTTGTCTGCATTTCATTGAGGGCAACACCTGACGGATGATCTTAGACTATATGGGTTTAGTCACATTCACATTCTGAAATATTACAATTGGGAGATCTGTGTCCCTTCAGTTGCCTCAATTGGCGTTAGGCAAGGATCTCTTTGCATGACCTTCACTGGATGTTATAAATGTAAGAACCCGTTCTGGTCTGTTCTCTGCCCCCATCACCACTTGCTGTGGTGTTAATTTGTGTTGCCATTAGTCTTTCACTGTCTAATGATTTCAGATTAAAAGATCAGCCATGATTGAATGGCGGGGCAGGCTTAAAGGGCCGAATGGCCTACTTCTGCTCCTACAAGTTATGTTATGATGCAAGGAATCCTAACTGAATACGACTGCGCTCAATCTTTCAGGCAAGAAACTAAAGAAGCTCAACTCTACGCAGCTCAGGCATATCTGAAACTGGGTGAAGTCGGAATAGAATCTGGTAAGTTTATGTTGTAAAACAGCCAACTTCTAATTGATGTCTTTGTCAACTTTCCTAGATAAATCTTTTGTGATGATATCTTGTTTGTTTTATCTGTACAATTGGTTGTTGAGTTCTGTGATGCCAACCAAGAAGGCAGTTATATTCCATCTGCTGTAACAGTGATTATGATTGTTGATTGTTATTGCATTTGAGCTTGACTTTAGAATATTATTTGATTTCAGAAAACTACATTCAGTCCATTGAGGATTTTACCGAATGCCTGAACATTCAGGAGAAACATCTTGCGCCACATAGCCGGCTACTGGCTGAGACTCATTATCAGCTCGGGTTGGCTTATAGCTTTAACAATCAATACGATCTGTCTGTGAAGAACTTCAAGCAGTCATTCTCTGTAATAGAGAAGAGGCTAGGTGAGTTGTGTAACCTTTTATGGTGTTTGTGGAGTAAATCTCTAGCTTAATGGCTTTGTGCACAGCTCGATGAAAGTTTCAAACCTTGACCAAAGTAAAAAGTTCACTGTAGTTATCTTGCAGCTCCTGATAATGCTCCTCCTAAGACTATAGGTAAGCAGTTATTATAATTCCATATCCACAGCCATGTTAACAGAAAGGATCGAGAAAATGGAAGAGAAGGGAAAATCTCCTGCCAAAGACACTGATGCGGTTAATGAAGACAAACGAGAGATTGAGGAGCTTAAAGAGCTGCTGCCAGAGATCAAGGCAAAAATTGAAGATGCAGAAGAATCCAAAAGTGATGGGAAAGCCACTAAGGAAGCTCTTAAGGCAACACTGGTCAGTAGATGGTAACTGGGGGGTGGGGTGGATGGATTAGTAATGTTGGGTGGAATTAACTTGCAGCACCAACTGGGAAATGAGTTTGTTCCCTTTGTTCAGTTTTGTAATGGGAGTGAGGGAAGGTTAGTACTGTATGTCCTTAACACTCTGCCATCATTGCTTTTGATGACTATCAAAAAGGCTATTGACATTAGTGTGAATAAATCACCTGACTTGGTGATAACTTGGAGATGTAGTGGTGAAAGTTGAGTAAACTCCTGTAATTGGAAGAGAGTATGCATAGTTAAGTTTGATGCAGGGTTTTGGGACGATTACAGGTGACTGCTACCAAATCATTCAAAAGTTGACTTGACTATTGTATCGTGAGTAACACCTTTTGTTTCTCTCCAGTCTGGAGCACCGGCCTCTTCGGGTTTTGCATCAGGAAGTAACTTGAGCAGTGCGCCTGCAATAGCGGTAAGTTATTGCAAATATAGTGACTTTATAGTGAGCTTTAAATGTAGTTTCACCACGAAGTACAGTCAAATCACTTTACAGTATAATCTGTGAAGTGCTTTGAGACGTCTTAAAGACGTGATAAGGTGCTTATTGTTATTTATTCTATCTGGGAAAAGATAATAATAACAATAATCCTTGCATTTGATATAGCGCTTTTCACGTCGGGAGGACGTCCCAAAGCGCTTCACAGAACACACTGTAAAGTGAATTGACTGTATATTTGTGGGTGAACGCCCACTGAATCCACTGAATTGACATGCAGCTGCAATTCATACAATAAGGAATTAACTAGGGATAGATATAGTTCAGCTCTTTCATAACTTCTCAATCCTGTTTCAGATACCGGTCAGAAAAGCATCTGATGAAGCCTCCACTTCTAGCTCGTCAACAGCTGCTTCAAATTGTGTATCTAATATCTCTCATTTAGTACGGAAAAAGGTGAGTCATCTGCCACTGGGGCTAAACTTCCTGACTGTTGAGTTGAATCACACTTGTATAGATGCAGACAGGACCTTCTGGTGTGTAGTTTATTGATAGTTTGGGCAAATGAGAACCAGTTTGACCAAGAGGAGCAGTGAATTTTAAGGATGAAGAGAAGCAAGTCAGAATTACAGAGCATGGCTTGTATTCACAATTGGATTAAAGACTTGAAAGCTGCAGGTGCAATAGCTCCTTCCTACCTAGTGGTCACTTGACCTCTTCAGTGTCAGGAAATCTAATCTGTGCAACTAATCCTGTAAAATGATTATCTGAATTTTCCAGTGGGATAGTTGCCGTACTGCAGGAACTCCCGAAAGGCTGCCAACTCTCTCACTATCTCCTATTGTAGGGAGGGAGCCCAAAAAATTGCTTAGTAACTTGATGCTGGTAGACCTCTACTTGACTCAGTGAAAAGAATGTTTGATCAGGGCTTTTGGCTATTTCCAAGTGGCGTCTTACTTATGATGAGCACTCTGAGAACCGTCTGGTGTGAAGGACGCTTTATAAAAATGCTGTGGTTAACTGTCTGTCCACCTGGTTTCGACTGTCATTACTGTGGCTAATTCTGAGGCACTTGTTCAGTACAGGAAAATTCAGTAGGAGGTGGTGATGGATTAAAACTTAAAAACTTGTCGTATGGAGAAGGAAAAACAGTTAGTGATTTGGTTAAAATGGTGATCTGTGGAGCATGCTGGTAAATGAGTGTCAAAAGTTATGTAAACTTTCAAAGTTCACATTGCAGAGGAAGCCAGAGGAAGATGGTGAGAGGGTTGACAATGAGCCGAAGAAACCCAAGCAGGAGGAATCTACTGTCAATGGTGGATGTGGTGATGCAGCCCACAGTCGGAACGGAATGTCTGTGGAAATGGTGGTAAGTTCAGTATTAGGCTCTGATTAATCAATCCTTTTACATTATGGCCTCTGAAACCAGTGATTGCGGGGGGTGGGATTAAGAGAATTGTACAAGAATCTGATACGGCTTCACTTGAACTCGAATCTCTCAAAGCAGGAAATGCTAACAACAATCCTGTTTGTTACTGAGCCACTGGGTAGATATTGAGAGTGATGTAACTTTCTCATTCAATAACAGTCATGTTTAGTTATGCAATTTTTTTAAAAAAGTGTCCCTTTTAAAACACAAGAGTCCTGCACAGATGGTGACCTTATGTCCTGATTGTAGAATGAAGCCCCATGTACCTGGTTTTGGGGGTTTAAAATTTGGATAATTCCATCGTTATACACAGAAGGAACGGTTTCAACAGTAGGAACTTTTCAGTTGCATTGCAGTATGCAATTCTTGGAACACAAGCTGAACATTTTGTAAAGTATTATGATGATTGCTGAATAATTCACTTAGTCCTCTCATTGCAAAATGACAAGTGTGTTGACTGCAGCCTCTTATGTTGAAAGCTGACTAACCTTGGAGAGACTCCCTTTTGGAAATGGTCAAATTAACCTACAGTTAAGAAACCATCTAATGAGGTGCACAGGCTGACGTCTTGTTGACTGTTGCCACTTGAGTGTAGGGAACAGTTCTTGCATTGACGTCAAACATTTTAGGACAAAAAGTCAATCTTGGGCTTTCTTCCTTTTTTGTAGGCAGACGATACAGTTACACCCAAGAAGTCTGAGACGACGGCTCAAAGTGCTAGTTAATAGAAGTTGCAGAAGCTTCCCACACATGGACATTTTTTGTACATAATGTATTTTTTGACTGGCTTTTTGAACTTTTTGTAAGACATTGTGGAAAAATTCAATAAAGGATGTTATTTGCAAACCAGCCATCTGCACTTTTTATTCTAACAGTTTGTGGGGTTTGAGTTTGGACAGCTATTCACATTGCTCATAGTGCTGCCAGTGGTCAAACCTAATCTCTCTCAGTTTGCATTGGATTCAGGAAGATCAGCATCGCTCACAGGAGGCGGGAGGTCAATGTGATCAGTAGGAGGGAGAGGATGATGGCGGTGGGTAGGACAGTGCTGGGAGGGAAGATAGCTGGCAGCAGGGAGGGTGTTGTGGCTGCCACTCTGCAAATTAAACAGAAGAGGAATTAATTTTTTAAAGTAATCCTTGCATTTAATATCGCACATGGTGCCTTACACTCTTGTGTTTTATAAACACTGGCACGTACTGATTAATCAGTAAAATGGGTATGAATAGGAACTCACTGAAGGTGGGTATTTGTACACAGAAGCATTGTTGGGATCAATAGCAGCCAGTGACTGGACATCAGCATCCCGGCCATTCACCACTCTGAGGTAGATTTCAGCACTGCCAACCTGGATCAATGGCAACAATTAAGAGGCACCATAATATTCCCAGTGATGCATGGATTATTGTAGCTTCTAAACTATTTGCCAAATTATGAGTGTTTTTATATGTGTGAAATAAGTGCACAATAAATATTAACTATGAATGCATAACTTCATAACAATAAATTACATTTGTATAGTGCCTTTCGCGTCAGGAGGACACCCCAAGTTGCTGGAACCACTTTAGGTTAGTTAATGTATCGTGTTTTGTAATTTAAACGTACCTGAGGAATTCCATTGAGTTGGCCGGTTGTCAGTGATGGGTTTACTGGGAGCAAACGCACAGGAACCTTCCACTTTCCGCTGATCACTCGATTGTGAACGTCAAAGAGGTCAATTTTTGCCCAGCCTCTGCTAACCAGGCGCACGATTTCCTGACTGTAAACATCGAAGCCCCCGGCAGCTTGTAGCTCCATTATCAGTGAGATGGCAGGAGAAGGACTTACCCTGATACAAACAAAAAAAGAGTATAACCCTACAGCAAGGAATGATAACAACTTGCATTTCGTGTGGGATGTTTTCAGGGATTGCTGAAAATAGCTGAATTAAAACGGCTAAACAGCCACAGATTGGGATTGTCGTGAGCAGCGTTAAGGAGAAGTGTTGGAATGTTTTTTTTGTCAGCTCGGGAGGTATTAGAATGTGAATACTTTTAATGATAGAAAGAAAGAACTTGCAGTTGGCAAAACGTTTTGACATTGAAGAGCCTCACAGAGGTGTAGTGTCTATAGTGACTATTGGAGGGATGAACTCGGCAGCCCATTTGCACACAGCAATGTCCCACAAACAGCCAGGAAGTGAAATGACCCCAATCTTCTCATTCACGTAGCTCAACTCTAGCCTCAGCAATACAACTGTTTACGGTACCAGTGTAACGTCCTTATTCCTCGTCCTTTTAACTTCTATGGATGAGAACCACCGAGCTCCGTGTACAATACGAACAGGAACATTTCAGCGCGGTGCAGTATCTAGCGAGCTCACCGTGGCACCGGCTGCTTTGCGGATAGCGTTGCGATGTTGCCTCTGAGTCCCTCAGCCACGTACTGAGATCCACCTCTCATCTCGCAGTACACAGCCGGCAGGGAACGTGGCTTCCCCATTTCCTGCCCGTTGCTGTACAGACCAGTAACCAGGCGGATGAGGCAATAGGTAGCATCCAGCCCGAGAACAAAATCATAGAAGATGGTGAATCCTGCCCTGGGAAGTCAAGACATGGTCAACAAACAATATTGACAGCTTCGCCAACTTTAATTGGCAAAGCACGACTGTACAATGAAATGCAATGCAATACATGCGTTGACGAGTGAATCCTGTGTTAATTTGATTTGGAGATTGTAAATGGAAGGCTAGTGCATATTTCGGTAACCTATGCAAACCATTCGACCCACTCCTTTACCTGTGTCTGCTTTCCTAGGAATATAGGAACAGAGGAATCAGAGTAATAATAATAAATAATCCTTGTGTTTGACATAGCGCCTTATCGTGTCGTCGAGAATTCTCAAAGCGCTTCACGGAATATATTGTAAAGTGGATTGACTGTAGTTTGTGGGCGAAACGCAGCAGCCGATTGCGCACAGCAACAGTAGCCCATTCTATAAGTCAATAGTCGCTGGAAAATTCAATGTGACTGACTACAATTTTCACAACCTTTGATAGAATATTAGCCTCCATTTGGATCCTCAATGATATACAGCCACTTACATCCTGGAGTGATTCCTCGCACCATGATTCAGTTGCACAAAGATTATTACTTACCCTGGATCAAACGGTGAAGGTCCTAATACATCTGGGGGATCCAGCAAATGTTTGGCAATCATCGGAGTCTGGGGTCTGATATGGTCCTAAAACATAGGGGAAAAAACTCTAAATTTGCCAATATATTCATTATGGTGCATAGTGTCTGTTTTACCTCATTACATAAAAAAAACTTTCATTTGATATAGAATCTTGTCACATCAAATTGTCCCAAAGTGCTTCGCAGAATTTCCCTGCTAAAGTGTAGTGACTGCATTTGCTGCAGTAGGCGATGATAATAATAATAATAATCGTTGCATTTGATATAGCATTTTATCACGACTTCGAGATGTCTCAAAGTGCTTCACAGAATGTACTGCAAAGTGAACTGACTGTATTCATTTGGGCAATTTGCACACACCACATCAAATGAGCTGCCCTTACCATGTGTGGAGGAGGGGGTGGCGGAGGGGGAGGGAGAGGAAGCATGGGAGGAGGTGAGTTTATCCCCCCGCTCATTCGTACTCTGTTTGATTGGTTTCTCAGCATCTTGATCTCCCCCTTCAAGACAGCCAGCTGTCTCACATGTTCCCACTGCATCTCCTGCATTTCCATCCCTGAAGCAAACGAGAAGAAAGCTTTGTATTTTTATACGCTCAAGTGTAAGCTCTCCGAGACGGGCAAATAGCCTCACGACACACAGACACCGTCCAAGGTCCGGTCGCAGCAGTGAAGCATCAGGATGTCTCTTTCTCCAGCTGTCTCGTTGTCCAGCTCATCGTTTGTTGTCCCCTCGAGACTTGCACAGGATTGTCACTTGACCCAAGTGTTTCACAAACATATTGGAGAGCGTCATCTATACTTGTTTTCGTTTATGTTTCCTTTGCTTATTGTCCTCCCTTCTTAGGTTGTAAGTTTCACTCCCAGCTAATAGGGTACGTACCCAGACAACCGCTTCAATTCTGTAACTGGCTACACAGAGGCGACTAACACTCCTCTCCAATTCAACTCAACTCCCTCCTTCCGGAGATGCTTGCGATTGCTTGGCTTCTCCCATACAATGGCTCCTGCTTTCAAACTGCGGGTCAGAAGCACTTTGGGAATAAGGCCACCAGACCGGTGTGGATGAAGAAGGCTCTTCGGCCCATTTGACCTTATCCTTTCAGAACACTCACCCTCTTCTCCTCCCATCACAGCACCAAGCTTCTCTTTAAATGACTTCCAGAGTCCGGACATCAACCACCCTTCCTAGCAATCAGTTCCAGTCATTAATTACCGTCCGTCTAAAGAAATACTTCCTGGTGTTTGCCCTGAAATTGAGCTTTGGGACCCTTAAATCCGTGTCCTCTTGTTCTATTGTCTTGGTGCGTCCGAAAGACCGATTCCCTTAGTCAATGACACAAGGAAATGAGTAATCGGTGATATTCAGCCAATTCATGTCAGGAGCAAAGTGCAACTTCATTTCACCAGCGCAGTCTCCGCACAGCGTCCCTTAACATCAGGTTTCAAGCACTCAGGACAAGGAAGGACGGAAGGTAAACTACACCACTTTGTGCACAGATATTTCCCCTCAACGTAACAAAACCCTTTCCTGTCAAAGATATTTATAACTTGGGGGGAAATCTGATCTTGAGATTTTAAAAAAAATTTAAATCTTAAGATTTAATATATTTTTTTTTTAAAAAAAGGATCTGGTTCCACATGTCGCAGGTCAGAGGTCCAGGACACGAATTCCCCACTCACTGAAATATCAAGCGCTTGAAGGAATCAGAGTAAAGATAAGAAATGCCAGCCACGTTCTGAACGGAAGCCAATCAATCAGACACATTCCACAGGGATGCCTTTGAGCTCTGTTCCCTCGATGTCGTCTGCTTTGCCTCTCTGAGCTGAAATGGGATCTATTCAGGGTCCCGCAGAGGAAACAGAAACCAAATAAAGAAGTCAGCACAAGTCTGAGGGCAATTCCAATTTGTAAAACCCTCCTCTGTCAATGTACGCTGTTTAAAAAAAAGAGTGGCTTAAGTAAAACAGGAAATTAAAGCCAGCTTTCTTGTTAATTCCAAAGCATTCTTTTTTTTGTGATTCAGGTGAAGCAAATTGACCGAAATAAGTTCTTTTTAAAAAATATATGTTTTTTTTCGCCCTCTAAGTGAACTTTTCTTAGAATGTCTTAGGGTTTGAAGAACATATGCAAGCAAAGGAAGAGCAAAGGGTAATCGGGTCCAATCCTGCCACAAGCCAGGAACAATTTTCTAATGGGCTTTTCAAAACAGATTGCGCTTAAAACGTTGCATGGACAACCCTTACAGCAAAGCACTTAGGGCTCGGAGTCAAGTTCCGAGTCTCTAATCAGACGTGAAGACTTGCTGATCTTTACAGTTCAGCTCATCACCATCTGCTGCTCTTCCTCGAGACTTGCTCAGAGGAGGGATGCTCCAGGAAGTGGAGTCCTGTTGTGTATTGGATAGAGGACTTGCCTCGCAAGTGAGAGGACCTGGGTTCAACTCGCAGGCTGGGCAAAACCTTAGGCAAGTTGCCTTACTCCTCACGTCTCTGTTTACCCGACAGTAAGTAGGAATCCGGTTGTTAGTCGATTGTCGGATCATTTTCCGCGGGTAATAATCCCTTAAAAAAATAATGATTTGATCTCTCAGTCCGTGACTGTGTGTGGGACGCTGCTGTGCACAATTGGCTGTTGCGTGTCGCCCACAAAATATACAGTCAATTCACTTCAGAGTATATTCTGTGAAGCGCTTTGAGAAGCGCTCAAGGACATGATAAAGCGCTGTATCAAATGCAATATTATTATCATTATAAGTGGGCCCATCATACAGAGCTACGGCTGAAAGAGAATCTATATGTCCCAAGGTGTCAAGGTGCTTATGTTGATCTTGTTTCTACCTGAGTTTTTTAAAAATGCTGTGGATGAAAAAAAAATCAAAGGACCAGCAATGAGCAGAAGGACATCTCACGGTTTCAGCTTTCAAACGATAAAATTTGTGAAATATTGACAACTGGTCAAGAATGCCCAGAGTAGGGTGAGGTGAATGTCTGTGATTTTTTTTGCTTGGTATATCTTTGGAGAGCAGAGAGAAACTGCGCAACACGAAAGGGGATGAATAGAGTCCATACGGATTGTACACTGTTTAAGAGAATCGACGTGGAGACATTTACATTTTCTCATTCCATACTTGTATTTGTAGCTCACGTCGAATTTATTCACCAGAGTTTATTAACCACAGACGAGCGATCTTATTAATATTATATTTTTATTTGAATGTTTCTCAAAAAAAAAAAGACCTACAATGAACATCAGCAAGATTAACAATTTGCTTCGCTTTGCTTACTGCCGAGTTTACCGGGGTGAACAATGATAATAACCATTGCATTTGATATATTTGAATGCGGAGGACGTCTCAAAGCGCTTCGCAGGGAAAGCGAGGATTTGGGTATTTTGTAAGCGGATAATAGAAATAGTCGGAAAAAATCGTGAGCATCATCAATTGAGGTGAGTATACCAAGGGGAGTATTCTGCGATAGGACGACACATCATTATAGGACATTAATAGATGCTTTTGCCTTAAGTTGCTTTTTGTTGATGGTACCGTTCGATTAGGGTTCAGAGTCGAACCTTCAATGTATTCAGGTACAGTCAGGAGATGCTGACTCACTGTTGATCAGCTTTCCACATCCTTTAATACTGAACAAATGCCGAGAAAATGTTTTGCATCGTTCTCGTTTGTTTTCTCTAACGGTTAACATTAACGGTGATCCCACCACAACAACAACATTACATTTGTAAAGGCGCCTTTCACGTCGGGAGGACGTCCTAAGGCGCACAACCAAAAACCGAAACAAAACAAGATCAGACTGAACCGGGTCAAAAGAGAAAATTGTTCAATCGGATTTTGCAAGTCCTCACAAAAAAAAAAGCCCAGACATTCCACCCAAACACCTTGGTTAACAACGACGTTAGGTCATTCTTGTGTACAGCCATGTTGTGGGAGATGCGTGAGACTCTTTGCTGAGCATCTGAGACCTACCATCATCCACTTTCCTCTTCTCTCGCTGGAGCTTCAGGATTTCGTCTTCCAAATGCTGGTTCTCGAGTTCCACTGTCAGGAGCTCAGCGTCCAATAACCTGTGCGTAGGATCCTGTCCTGTGGCAAACGAAGAGGAACCACCATAAACACCAGGCCCTTTTGGGGTAGTTCTGAGACCCTGGACTCAGCTGATCGACCTGACAAAAACCGGCATCCAAATTAAGGCTGGATTTACCAAATTACCACAATTCCGTGGTGACCTCAAATTTTGAGACGAAATGGTCTTACAGCCTAAGAATAGCTGGAATTTCAGACCTTAGGTCTGCGAGGAACATTTTGTTGAATTAACTCTGGTAGCACACTCCGTATAACTGCACAGAGTTGGGACTGGACAGACTCTATTTACCAGCAGTAAGTAGGTTGTCAGTTGATTGGCGGATCACTTTCGGGCACAATAGTCCCTTCAAAAATAAAATTTTAAATAATAATAATAATTTGGTCCCTCAATCCACGACTGTCTGTGGGGACGTTGCTGTGGGCAAATGGCTGCTGCGTTTCGCTCACGAAATACACAGTCAATTCACTTTACAGTGTATCCTGTGAAACGCTTTGAGACGTCTCGAAGACGGGATAAGGCGCTGTATCAAATGCGAGGACTGTTGTCATTATTATCATTGGTGGTATCGAGGTGAGCACGAGTTTTCAGATCTGAATAAGATTGCAGTGTGAGTGTGGCCTGACTTACTTTTCCTCTTCTCTTTGATGGGACGTGTTGAGGTCTTCAGGAGCTGTGCCTCTGCCTGGAGGGCGTTGAACTGGGCAAGAATACCGGGGTCTCTGCCACCGCTCTGAAGGTAAACTATCCGCAGGGCACTACAACAACAACAATAACAACAACTTGCATTTACACAGCGCCCTTCACGAGGGGTAGCATCCCGGAGCCCTTGACGGTGGTGGATTCTGACACACAACGACAAAGAAACAATGACCTTGACGGACCAGTTCATTTCATTGTTATCAAAGACATTCGCAAACACAAACGACATCAACAACTTGTATTGATCATCATTATTATTATTATTATTATTATCATCATCGAAAAGGTTAGAGCAGAATTAAATGGCGTAGGTTTCAAATGAACAAGATTCAAGCAAATTCGGGCTTAGATTAGGGGAAAAAAAATCGTACCAATGAGTGGAGCTGAGGAACAGACCACAAGTAAAGCAGCTGATGATGTGCCAGTGGTGGTATGTCGTGTTTTGCTCACAATTTATTTGCTCACCTTATTTCAGCGGCCAGGTTACCACGACTGGCAAATGGCAGGAAGGTAAATTGTATTTTCTCTTCTGATTTCTGTGGGGCAGGAGAGGCCACGGTGCTGACGGAACTCGGTCTCTTTCTACAGCACAAAGACACATCGTAATAATAATAATCCTTGGATTTGATACAGCGCCTTATCGAGACGTCTCAAAGCGCTTCACAGGATACACTGTAAAGCGGATTGACTGTATATTTTGTGGCAGCCAATTGCGCACAGCAGCGTCCCCACAAACAGTCGTGGATTGAGTAACAAATTATTATTATAATTGTTATTGTTATTAGTAAAGGGATTACAAGTAGCTGCAAAGGAAACCAGGACTTGCCAACTGACAATGCGTTGATTGTACAAAGATAATTTACGCTATATCCTGCACTAAAAAACGATCGGATATCCAGCAGAGCAGAGGCTAACCCTTTTGTGTGGATGGATACGTACATAGATTCCATTTGCAGCAGTTCGATCTGTTCCCTGAGTTCGTCTAACGCCAGACGATTCTTCTGTTCCTGAGCCTTGAGCTCCAGTAGCATCTGCTCGACGTGGCCGGTGAAATACTCTCTGCAAGAAAACTCCTGCAGTCGACGACGGATCTCTTGGGCAAAACCAGACAAGTGCAAACACTCTATTTATTTCAATGTTCGGCCACACAGAAAGGTTCACGTTCGAGGTATGTTACCCGCTCAATGCACCCTGTGGCTGCAGACACTTCTTATTACCATAATAAGTGATAATCCTTACATTTAAGGCTTACATTTAAGCGCCTTTCATGTCGGGAGGACGCCTCAAAGCACTTCACAGGATTTATTGCAAAGCGTAGTGACTGTATTTGTAGGTGAACGGCAGCGCCTCATGATATTAAAGAATACAAAATGCGATGCTATTACCCACTGAGATTGCCATAAAATACATGTTTCGTATTCATGTTTCTTTATTAATGGTATTAACCAATGCCCTGTCTTCTCTCAACATTATGCTTCTTTTTTGGCTCAGCGCATGGGATAACATGCCCCGAAACTCAGAAGAATTGTTCTGCAGAGGCAATCAGAAATTGAACGGAACAGAGGTTGAGTCAATTTAGCCCCCATCCTCTTACTCCAAACAAAATCAAGCAAAACTTGGCCATAAATGTCCGATCGCGCCAAATACTAGGAAGGACTTGAGCCTGAGAACTCTGAATGGGATTCCGATGCTCGTCAGTGAGTCGATAATCCAACACTTTCAGTCGAGAATCAAAACACTTTCTCATCACATGAAACAGACGACGAGACCATAACAGCACAAACTGAGGTGATGTTTCCTACCCTCCCTCTGTAGCTCGAGGTTCTGGTTTCGGGCTTGAATATCCGCCAGATGTTGGCCATGCGCCACTGCTATTTCCCGCAGTCGCTCGCGATGCTCCGAGTCTCTGTTGATTCTGGGGGAGATCTCATCCTGTTAGATAAGGAGAAGAAGCGTTGCATTTGGTCTAGCGCCTTTCAGTCTTGCAGCGCTTCACGGGATTAATGACTGGGAACAGGTTGGCGGCAAAGGTGGTTGAGGCCAGAACTTGGACACGGAGTCCTAATGGCTCAGAAGGGAATGTACACCGAACGGAGCCAGACTGACACACAGTCTGTGTGCGGTATATGTCAATATAAAACTGGCGTTGCGACAAAATACTTTGGATGTAGCTCCTTTCACGATTTACTGAAAAGCGTAGTGACTGCGTATTTTGTAGGCGGAAGTATGGAGAAGAGTAAAATCGCCACGAGATTGCAAATTACCTCTTCCTCCGAGGGTTTACTCGTGGGTCTGTTTTCTTGGATCGACAGCCTCAGTTTGTGAAACTAAATGGATGCAAAGACGACCAGACTAAGTTTGAATGTGATTTCTACATTCTTTCCTAAAGCGCCCACTGGACGGAAGGGCGCAGCTTGAAAGGGTATTCCCTCGGGAGGACATTTGACTCTCGCGTAGAGCAACGTCCCACAAACAGCCACGAAGTGAGTGACCAGTCTTAATCGGGGAAAATCGCGGGAGAGAGAAACACCCTCACTGCGAGGAGCGAGGATTTTATTACTTACTCTTGAGAGAAAAAGGAGAGAAAGTCAAGGCAACGAGAGACTTGGAAATGAGGAACAGAAATACAGAGAGAGAGAGCGAGAGAGAGAGAGAGGGAGAGGCCCGCACACAAAATTGATCATCCTCCACTCAACGCCTCTACACAGTATCGTGTGTTAGACTTCATGACATGCCGAGCTCCTGATATGTGGCCTAAATATTAAGGGCCACTGGATGGCAGCAAATCATTGAGGCTGCCTTCCTTGTTGGGCAGGTGCCTAATGATGGGTGAGAAACACTGGAGGAAGGGAGGACCTCCACCAGCCTGCTCTTGTGTTGCCGAAGAACAACGCTGGCCACAGTTTGGGAGTTGGTTTGCATCTATTTGGCCTCTCGCCTGATGCACTATTGTTGTGGACCCGAGAAGCATGGATGGGGGTGGCTGGGCTACCGGCTGGGCAGGGAAGGGAGAAAATAACTGCAAAAATCACCATTACACACAGCATAGACGCTACTGCGTTTCGCCCACAAAATATACAGTAAATTCACTTTACAACATATTCTGTGAAGCGCTTTGAGACGTCTCGAAGACGTGATAAGACGCTATACCGAATGCCAGGATTATTATTATTATTATTATTATCGAGGCCTCAGTGTCTCAATGTTATTTAAAGAGTTGATCGGCGAAAAAAAAACGGACATGTACCCCCAATTTTAGTAACGGACGTCTTAAAGCGCTTCCCAGGATTTAGTGTAAAGTGCAGTGACTGTGTACTTTGCAGGCGAGGCGCCTTTTGTTGGGACTGATATTCGTTCAGCATTGACTCACCTCATCAGTCAACTTTCTCAAGGCCTGGTTGTCGGACAGTCTGATTTCCGATTGATGTCCCCTCAACAAGTTCTGTTCCCTTTCGTTAAATGAATTGTTGTCCGGAGGTTTGTCTCGGTCGTGTTGCCGAAGTCTCTCCCTCTTTCTCCTTTGGTCCTGGATGTGAAGCATCTATTTGGTCAGTTAAAGGAATTAATTTACTGTATTCTCTCTTCCCTCGGTTTGAGCACTCGCACAAATAAAAAAAAAAAAAATTGTTAAAATTCTCACGTTAAAGGATAGGTGCAGAGTTTTGCAAAGGAAGATCTTTTCCACAGACTATGTGAGCTTCGGGTTTATGAGACTTTAAGCTGTTACCATAGCGATTATTCTCGTTGAGTACAAAAGCGGGTGATATCAATTTTAAAAATTCACCCGCAGTTTCTACGATAGATAGATAACGCAGGAAAGTGAAACACAAAGAGCTGTGATTATTTCTCGTCTCTGAGATCAGTTTCATAAAGTGTCTTCCTGTTTACCAATTACAGTGCAGAGCAGTTGATGTGCTATCGTCAACTGTACAAATCCTAAAGCAAATGTTAATTGCCTAGCAACGCGTCCTCTGACACTGTGAATGAAACCGACATCACTCTGCAAACAAAGCAACTTAGCATTTAGAAAGGCCTTTTGCCTCGTGACCCGCAACTGTTTACAGGAAACCCTCCTAGGATTAGCAGTACAGTGTCTATGTCACCGCGGAGAGACCATAAACTGATGCTGACCATGAGCCTCGCCATTCAGTGTAGCTGTCTGTGTTACATTTGGAAACCCAGGGGATTTCCAGGGACGTCATCATAGAAACGAGAGGAGGCCATTTAGCCCCCTGAGCCTGTTCTGCCACTCTATAAGATCACGGCTGATCTGTAACTCAAGCCCAATCATGGAAGCACTGTAATAATTTTACGTTCTACACACAAGTGCGGGATCATTCGAATTTACCCTTCCCTTCCCCCAGTACTTCAGAGAAAATATCTTAAGCCACTTTTACCGGCTGCCCTGAAGAGAGAGAATGTCTGGTTGATGTTTGGGGTGGGTGGTGGTGGTCACAAAATATCATTGCAACATAATCCCTGCAGAGATTTGCTTTATTGGTAATTTGCTGCCGGTACTAAAATTATACTGGAACTGTGGTATATCTACACAACAATCTTTGTATTTGATATAGCACCTTATCATGACGTTGAGACGTCTCAAAGCGCTGCAAAGAATATACTGTAAAGTGAATTGACTGTATTTTGTGGGCGAAACGCGGCAGCCAATTGCGCACAGCAGCGTCCCGCAAACAGTCGTGGATTGAGTGACCAAATTATTATTATTTTTCGATGGGATTATTATCCCCAAAAAGTGATCCGCCAATCGACAAACATCGGGGTTCCGACTTTACTGGTAGGTAACCCGAGGCGTGTGGAATAAGGAGAATTGCCTAAGCTTTCGCCCTGCCCGGAAATCGAACCCGGGTCCTCTCGCCTGCGAGGTGAGCGCTCTAACCAACACGCCACAGAACTCCACTCTATAGTTAAGACGCACATACCCACATATATACCCACATGTGCTGCCCCTTACCATATGATCTGGCGTCTCAGATTTCCTTGGTTCACTTGCTCTCCATGTGTTATTACCATCTACGGAATCTTTTGGCAGACATTCTCGTAGCCTCTGATTTAACATGCAAGAATCTTCCACGTAACCGCCAATGCAGAACTTGTCCCTGTGTTTCTCCAGCAGGACAGGGGACCTGAAGTTCATCTTGCACTCACGACAACGAAAATCACCTAAATCCATGCTTCCGAAGCCAGCCAAAGCATCGATCGACCTCAAACGAAGGCTCCGCGACACAATCCACACCCACAGACCCGAGCAAAATCCTATTCAGACTTTCACTTCACTCCAAATAAGTCTTCTCTCTTCGAGAACTGTTCTTTGGATTTGTAAAATTCAGGTACGTTTGGGAAGCTGCTGCTTTTATCACCGAAGCAGCAAAATGATTGTCTCGTTATGGCATAAGGTTGAAGGATTGATCGCTGTGTTAACAATTACCTGCACTTACCAGCTTGGTAACGTCAACACTTAAGAATCCTTAGCGACCAATTTACAGCTACTATGTACACACACACACACACCCACACCACACACACTCAGCCCCACACACCCACAGAAGTGATTGCAGTTAAGTTTCCAACACAATCTATATTTTTGCGACGACCTCACAAACGTTTTGATTTCATACAGTAAAGGAAGGCATCGTATCTGTTCGGGTTGTTATTAATATTATGGTTTGTAGTATTTTTGATCCTGTGAATTGGGTTGGTTATGACTGGGAGCAGTTTCTCGGAGGCTGTTGGGAAGCTGTTGCAAGGAAGGGAGGGTCATCGGAAAATTACAACAGCAACAACTTTGATTTATATAGCGCCCTCCACGCCGGACGGCGTCTCAGAGCGCTTTACAGTAACGGATCCCAGGCCCGAGCCGGGGGTGGGGAGGGGGGGAAGGTGACCAAAGGCGCGGTCGAAAAGAAAGGTCTTCAGCAGAGACCTGAAAATGGGAAGGGAGGGAGCGAGACGAAGGGAGTGAGGAGGGAGTTCCAGAGCCTCGGGGCATAGTGGCTGAAGGCACGGCCGCCGAGGGTGGAGCGGAGGACTCGGGGGACGAGGAGGAGGCCAGACCCGGAGGAACGAAGGCAACGGGCGCTGTTTTGAGGAGAGAGGAGGTCAGAGAGGTCGGGGGGTGCAGGGACCTCAATACAAGGGTGAGGATCTTGAAAATCGAAACAAACCAGTGGTTGCTGTTAAAGGGGACGTGCCAATCTGAAAAACGCCTGGAAAATAAACAGGGAGGAAAGTCTCTTACACCACATATCACTCCAAATAAAAATCCAAGGTGAGCACACACACAAAATTCACAATGCAAAGGGTTGTACTGCGGCAGATTTATTGCTCCTCCTGCAGGGGTGAGTGCACACGTATTCCTGATGGTTTCGCTCCCTTTGCCTCGCCCCTTCTCTTCCGATTTTCAGGTCTCTGCTGAAGACCCTTCTTTTCGACCGCGCCTTTGGTCGCCTTCTTTGGTTTCAAGATCCTCGTCTCCCCTGAAATAGGGTGACCGTATTTTGTAAACCGAATCCAGGGACAAATGTACATATATATATATGTATATATAAAAAAGTTGAACTCCCCACAATGCCTGATGCTGGCAGTGACTGGAGAAGCTTGTTGGCCGCATGGCCGGTTTGACTGATGAGAGTGTTATCGTTCTTGTTCAATTTGTTGCTGAACTGAAGACACCTCATCCAAGGACTGTCCCTGGAAATCGGTGATGTACGGTCACCCTATTACTACATAAGATGATAAAAATCTCTTCAAAGGGGCACTTGTCATCCAGATTCTCTGGGACGATCATTTCTGAGGCTGATCAAGAGAGCGTACAATGACATACTGCATAATTGCACTGACCACCTCTGCCTTTTTTTTTTAAAAAAAAAATTCATTTGTGAAGCATCCATCAATATCCCAGCAGCACAGTGTCCTTTCGTGATCAAATAGCGTTGGGTCGATTTGCAGAATGTTCGTCTGGTAAAATGGTGGAGCTTCTCCAGCCTTTCCACATAGCATATGTCATCCGAGCAAACTCGTGCAATAGGATGTAGGTCACAGGTACAGCGTAAGAGTGACTACAGCAAAATTTCTGTGTTATACTTTTATTCGGTATTTATTTGGAGCGTTTTTTGTACTCCCCCCCCACCACCCACTCCCGCTTGAAAGGTCTTGTGGACATTGTGTTGACTAAATCTGTCGTGTCCTTCAGGCTTGAATAACCTGCAAAATAAACCCTCACTGTCTCAAGGCTCTCAGATGAAGATTGGCCACTTAGGCAATGTACTGGGAAGTCGCCGGCATCTATAGAACTGAAACCCCAGTAAGAGCGCCTTCAAGTGAGATGTGGGAGAAAATTGGCCACCAATGAAAAGTCCAACCCAAGTTTTGTAAGAAATGTTTCCAATTATAATCCATATAAATCTTCTCAAACTACGCTGGTGATCGTTTGGGGAGGAGGTTGGGGTGGGGGGTAGCATCTGTTAATCTTTCTCTCACGACAGTTGTTAATTGTGCACGAACGAGCAAGGGCCGACTCACTCATGGGAGTTTCTCTCTCTTCTCCAGGGCAGCATCTCATTTTCATTCTGCGGTCCTCTGAAACTGTAAGGCAAGCCGAGGGCAGGAATTTACTACACATGTGGGGAGATTAAAGACAATCTGCAACTTATTGTTCCGAGACTGTAGCATCGCAAATAAACCGATGTGCTGATTATTATTTCAAATTCAACCTCTTAACCTGTTGGGAAATATACACACGCACACACTCATACTCAAGCTATTTCATGGTCAAGTAACTCGTGCAATTGAGATGTATTCAAACTCAGCAGCAGAAATACAAATCCTAACATAATACATCCATGAACCAGTCCATTTGTAAACATCTGCATAAAATTTCCAGCTGGAAAACGTGATGACTCTGCAGTTTGTTCTGCCAACTACCAAGGAAGCATCCATTGACAATTTGCCATGGTGTCATACCAGTGAAAGTTTTTAATTTCAATTGTTCTTCTTGAAGCAATAAGCGTCTTTTACTCTATTTCCAGCCATTTCCTCCAAATCTGGAATTCAATTTCCAGTTGGCAAAGTAGATTTAAAAAAAAAAAAATTATTTATCTACAGCTTTTTTTAAAAAAAAGAGTAATACAACACGACCAGGTGGGCTGTAAGACTCATAAATATTGTGCACAAATGCATAATTGTAAGTATATACAATTTGGTAAAAACAGGTGGGTGGTAATTTATAGCTGTCAGACAGTGCAGCTCTAGGATATTGTCGGATTGTTTCTTCCTATATTAACCTCTTAGATATAAAGGAATGGCCTGTAGTTTCCGGGCAAGAACGTTTTGTGCACTTTAATGTATTAAAAAATACGCCTGGTTGTATATTACAACAAGACTACAATTTACCACCAGTTAAACATTCCAACAGATTAAAAGATGCCGCAAATTACATCGTAACCTGCAGATCCAGAAAATAATTGCAGATTAATTTATACCAATTTGCAAACACGAGGGAGAAGAGGATGGAAAGATATGGGGGAGGAAATTAAGAGGGCTGAAGGTGCATGTGGAGTATAAACACCAGTACAGACTAGTTGGCCTGTTTCCATGCTGTAATAATCTTCGCAATTCTATGCAATACTCTAGGACTTGAAAGGCTCTCAGGAAGATTTATTGTAACACTCATCTTTAATATTTTTCAGCAGCAAAATCTTATTCAAGTAAACTTACTGATTCCTGAACAAACCGACCTAAAATTAATGTTCAACATGTTCTCATACCAAAAATGGGGAAAGAAAGTAGGGAAGAATTAAGACGCAAACCAAGTTGGCAAACTGATGCAAAATATTTATTCCAAGGTATTTTAATGCAGTAGTTTTCCTCATACAGATATTCATATGTGATAGCCACTTTAAATTTGTAAATAACATTATCAAAATAATCTTAATCTTTGAAATCTCACAAAATTTATATTTTACAATCAACCCTGAATATCAAGGCTGTTTGAAGAACTCAAAACTCCTATTGTGAATATTTTACAACTGTACCCAAAAAAATGGAGATAAACTTCTGGCGACAAGCATTTCTCTTTTTTCCCCAGAACTTCATGACATTGATAAAACAGATGTAATTAGCATTATTCTCGACAATTTATCATCAGTATTTGGAAATTGGTCTCTCACATTTCTTGTTCTATCACACAGCTATTCCTACTAATTGTTTGCAAATGTTTTTTTTTGAAGCTACTTTCAAAAAGATACCCATTTTATTTTATTTCCTTGCAAATGATTACTCAGAATGTGCTTTGCCCCCATTTCTTTATTGATGTACATATCATTCTACGAAGCATTCAACAGGACCGGCTGGTCAAAAGAAAAACATAAGAAAAAAAAAGAAAAAAAGCTGAACAAGCAAATCTTCTTCTTTGGGGCTGTGATCAACTCCCTTGTTGCATGGAAAAATATAACTCTGTGCCAAAAGAGCTTTAGTAAGTTTAGTCCTCCAGCTATAAGGAAATGTGTGGTGTGAATTCGACTTGTACCAGATTTAGACGTCATCATCGGAAGTGTCGCTACTGCTCGTTTCAGAGTCTGAGACTTTGCGAAGCCCTGGGCTGAAGGTGCCTCTCCACTGGGTGAACTGCAAAGCTGTACATCTGTTCTTCAGCAGAGAACCATTTTTCCTACAGCCGTTTTTCTCCAACTAAAAACAATGGAACATTTCTGGGTCAGCTGCAATGCTGCTTTGGTGCCAGGAATTTAACAAAACGCACGTAAATCAAAATCAACGGCTACAATATTAAGCCACTTACCCCTTTGAAGGCTGCAGACATTTCTGCCCTCAATTTTAAAAATAAATATTTTAAGATGATTTATGAAACTACCCATTTCTTGACACTTAGGAAATTCACGATAATTTGAACAAAATCTTTCTGCAGAAGTTAAAAAGGACTACTGAAAACAATTCAGCAGAGAGCACAACGAGTACTTTAGATTTATTTTTTAAATGTCAATTATACAACATCTTAAAAGACTATTTAAACATCCTCGAATTTAATTTGAATCCAAGATTAATGGAGCATGTAATTTCAAGTCTTATGTAAGTTCATCATAAACATTGCAAATCCATTACACAGGTATCCAATAAGCACCAATAAGTACTCAACTGGGATCCCAAAACTCTCTTGAGGATACTTTCATAGGATATGCTTTTACCTACACAAGACACTGCACTTACAAGAAACTCATTGCGCGAATGGCTTTGAGATGTTTAAAACACTATATTCAAATGCAGGATTCCTTTAAATTTTTTTTTTTAACTTTTCTCTATATAAAGCATAATGCAATTTCAGAACAGAAGTGTATGCTCTGCACTACATGACCTCCATCATGCTTGAGCAGAGAGGATTTGATCCCGTCAAAGTGCTCACAGAAGCATCTTACCTTAATATGTTCATAAATAAAATATGAACTTTTAAAAGCTATGCTTTGGCTATTTTTGCCTTCTCCAAATAACAATACTTCCAAGTAATAACAGTGCAGAGTTCCACATAAGAAAAGTATTTCTTAAATATAACACAATACTTAAGCAAGCCTTAATCTGATTTTCAGTCGACTGTGTGCGTACGTATGATATCTGCTCAGTAATTAACATTTCAAAACCACTACAATTCTAACCACAAAGATTTTGGTGGCAAGATGAAAGGTACCTGGCAGAAGATGTACAAGGAAGGAAACAAAGATCATTCCAGATGTGGAAAAGCATCTTGCGTAACATGGGATAGTTTAGAAAGTGCAGAGATAATGATAATCTTTGCATTTGATATCATGTCATTGAGACGTCTCAAATTGACTGTATTTTGTTGTAACTTCAATGTTTTTAGTACTGGGTTGACAATACATCAGCAAATAAACATCAATTTTATTTATTTTTGTTTCAATGGTGCATTACACACACCTGCTTGGTTTTAGCTTGAAATTCTCTGAGCTCGTCTTCTGTCAGAGGCAAGAAGCTGTCATCATTATCAGGGTGCTCCTGCCAACCCATTTCTTTCAGTAATCTGTACAGAAAGAAACATTAATTCATAGCTCAATCAATCGCACGGAAAGCCCGGGTTTTACAAATCTATCATAACTATTACTGCACACTTTCATAAATTGAAGCTGAGGATAAAAGACAATAAATGGACTTTAGAAAAGTAGCCACAACCTATGTTGATGAAAAAAGTCACACACAAGTTTGTTCAAGCCAATTTAATTATTCAAAATTCCCATTACCATAACAAAATTTGTCATTATTTATAGCAATTTGCCACTCGCCAAACAAACACTTGCTAGTGGGCCAGAAAACAAAAACTCCACTTATTTGCCTTTTGCTATTATTGAAAGCTTATCATTTTTAGCTGTTTTGGGGATAGGTTAGGAGATTCGAGAATAGGGGAAGCAGAAGAAAACCTACTGGATATTAAATTAATTTTTCAATATGAGCCTCTCCCATCTCTGAGGAGTTTCATCTGCATCAGAGGCAAAACAATTAACCTGAGAGATATCCCCAGTTACTCTACAGGGTGATTTATTGGTTAGGAAATGAGTGCCTAAATACAAGTGTAACTTACACAATCAAGAGATGCAAATGCACTTTATCAGTAGGATATAAAAAACAAATGACTGCTCAATCAGAACTGATCTCACAAGCAACAAGGTTAGTTAGTACCAAGGGTAAACAGAAGACAAGGGATTGGACACTTTGCTAATCCACTAAACTATCTAGTCCAAAAAAGTGCTCCAATGTAACACATTTTTATGACAACTAATAAAGTTTGGACTATGGAGTTAAAGAACGGTTCATACCTGTGTTCTGCTTCAAGGGAACTGGAAAGGTAGTCTTTTTCTGCTGCATAGAAGGAGAGACCATGCTGATTACCATTCTCTTCACCATTTTCCTTGGGTTCAGGAGTATTGCCAATACACTCCTATTGCAAAAAGACTGAAATTAAACTTCAGCAAGAAAAATGTGATGCAGTATTAAGTAAGTTATGTTAACTATTCAGATGACTACATGATACTGCTTTCTAGCGAAAGACATGAATTTACACCTTCAAAGCACCATAGGCTCTTAACAGGCAATGTATCTTTGACTTGTTTGACTACAAATTAGTTGAAGTGGAAAGTCATGTATTCCTCCTCTATTAAATAGCAGACTGAAAGTGGATGGCGCTCTTTATTTGAATCTGTTCCACAACCTGGACTGAAGCTCCAACCCACAGAAAGGAGATGAGGGTTGGTTCCCTCTCCTATACACGAAGAGTAAAAATTAAATAAATTTCAGGAGACTCATTGTATAGTCAATACAATAACAACTTGCATTTATATAGCGCTCTTCACGAGAGAGGTTAATAGTGTCGGAGACTGACGCCGAGCTGGGCGGAAGACAGGAGGTGATGCACAAAGATGATGTCAAAGATGATGTACAAATGAAACCTGCTGGTAATGTATCCCACGTAATGCTGATAGAATGCGCAACAAATGACTGTGGCATGATCCACATGCGCATCCACTTTGCTAAGTTTCCAATCAACCTTGCTGCCACGGATAGCTAAGCAAAGGCCCAGATGTCGGATAATTCTCAAAAGGTGGTGAAGAAAAACTGAGGAGAATGCAGGTCGCTTGCATCTCTAGCATATGTCTCAGTGCAGCATTAATAAAAGCTTGGAAGTAGATTTGGTGCTTGGCACAGTTAATTTTTGCGGGTTGTGAGAGATCCAGGAAATAATGTGGACGATCCAATTTTCAGGTTTTGAGATTATATCATTCTCGGTTCCAAGAAAGATGAGGCGTGTGCTGCCTCCTTTGTTTTATATTCATTAGAATAATAATCCCTCCAAAACTAAAAACAATAATAAATTGGTCATTTTCAATCTACGACTGTTTGTGGGACATTCCTGTGCGCAATTGGCTGCCGCGTTTGCCCACAAATATACAGTCAATTCACTTTACAGTGTACTCTGTGAAGCGCTTTGGGACGTCCTCCCGACGTGAAAAGCGCTATATCAAAATGCAAGGATTATTATTATTATTATTATTAATATTAGTTTCTGCTTTACTTGGCAATCAGCTAACAAATATTCTAATGAATACAAAAGAAGAGGCTGAACATGACAAGAATGCCGGCTGCACATCAAGGACTCGGCTATGCTAAAAAGCATTCACCAACATCATCTCGGACTCTCAAGTCTGTGACCTCTGTGACAATTCAGTTGCCTGAATTTCATTCCACTGAAATGGATACAAAAATAATTGGATTTGAAGAATAGGACTTTCTTCTATAAACCTTATTGGTGTGAATTCCGCAGTTTAACCGTTTATTTCAGCCTCTCTAAATCTCTAGAGTGCTACAATGTTCTGCAAATCACAATATAAAAATGCCATATCCATCATATAAAAAGTGAGCTGAATATAAATCTTGCAACGAAAGACACGAGGGCAAAAAAACAGAACAATGGGACAGTACAGGAAATCACACATACATAAAATTCTTTCCAGAATGTATAAAGTGAAGTGGAATGAGAGGGGAAAATCAAGAATCAAGCCTTACTAAAAATCGATTTTCCACAAATGCGTGTATTGTCTGATTTATTGTAAGTATTGTAAGTATTAAGTATTGTCCACTTAAACAGGAAAGAAGTCTTTCATTTGACAACAGCAAACTGCATTTGTATGGCGCCTTGCAGGAGACACAATATTGGCAGATGTTGTGAAAGTACGGTTAAAAGAACAAAAATAGCTTGACAGGATTGTTGGGTTTAAAAAAAAGCAAAGCCAATGTCAATGCTACGCTCTGCACATCAAGGACTCAGCTAAACGTATACTAAGTCGCTGGACAGTCAAAGGTTTGCACCCTGGCTCAGGATTGGATGTGGGCAAGGGAGAGACTGATATTGAAGGAGGCGAAGGAAAGGCTGAGGCGGAGGGACTCTGGGATGGGGTTCCACAGGGTAAGAAAGATAGTGCAAGGTCCTCAACAAGGTCTCTTGAAAGGTTTACAGTGGCCCCTAACACACAACAAGAAGGGTTTGGAATCTGATTCTCCATGTGGCGAGTTCTCGAATCCGCAGAGTCATTAAGAAGCTCCAACAAGCGTAGGAAACAAAGGGTACAATCAACAAAGTCTGACTGCTCTCTCAGCCCATGAATATTGCATGGTGAGTAGGGGGAAATGGAAATAAAAAAAAATTTAAGTTATTTCACTAACTTCTTCTGATTTGTCAAAGTCTCGGTGTTCTGAGACTTCCCCGTTCCGGTCATCTTTCAGGGCCTTCAAAAACTCACTCTTCTTGTCTGTCTTCACTCGGGTCATTTTTATCAGACGAGTTGCATTCATTTCCATTGGAGGGGTGGTGCTTGAAGGAGTCTGAAAGTGTAATACTGTATTTAGAAAATCCAAGGCACTTCTAAATCTAGCAGTGGTATAGTCAGGATTAAAGGATCATTATATTCCATATTTGGTCGAACTCTTGGAAATTCACATTCAAAGCATTCTTAGCCCATTACTTTTCAAAGTTGTGCGTGCCAACTTCATAGATTACTGCCAATTAATCCAAAATGTTTTGTCAATTAAGCACGTTGTTAGGATGGCTTTAACAAATTAAACACTCAGCATGTGTAAACCCACACCATTGACAGTAATTTATAACGTTTATGGAGAGAAATATGGTTCTTCTAATGGTATATCAAAGTTTCAATTGAATCTACTCAATGTATGTACTTGAAGTTTATAGTTGCAAATCAAATCTTATAACCCGTTTTAAATTTTATACTCTGATCTTTGCAATCAAATGTGCATTGGCGATGTTAATAAAGCCAATGAATTGTTAAAACCAGGTGAAGTGAAGTACTACCATCAGGTAGAGATAAAGTTTGCTCTATTCCATTAACAATGCAGTTTGAACTGCAGAATACCACTGCGCTTTCTGCAAAGGTCAATTTGAAGGCCCAATCTGGTAGCAAATTTTACCTTAAGTGGCCAATTACAAAGAACCTACTAATACTGATTAGGTAATCATGCATTTAGTTCGTAGACTGCTCAAGTATCAAGTGAAATAAAACTGATTCTCAAAGAGCTGTAGGAATCAGAAATATTACTGCTTAACATTATTTTAGTTGAATTAGAAAAAGGTATGGAAAATTAGTGTGGGTGCATTGAAGAGTTAAATTAGTTCAGAAGTGTTTATTGCAGCTGCAGCTCTCTTGTTGGTTGTTGATATAACGGTTTTAGTTTGAATCAGCTTATGGGTACCAGGCTCAAGGACAGTCCAGCTTGTCTAAACCAGCCTGAAAACAACTAGCACGTGAGGTTTCAGATGGATCATCCTGATGTTTTTTTTAATATTGCAAAACAGGCAATTATAAAAGAGGTGTCGCTCAGTTATATATTGGTCATCATAGTGTTCCCCCCTGCAAACCAAACTATTGATTCCAGTAATTAGAAGAGACAAAAAACAAAGATACAAGAAATACAACTGCTAAAGACAAGTACTTTTGACTCCTTCTTTTGATGCCTGTGATTATCAGCGTGGCAGTTCTTCTTACAGACAACGCTTGCTAGTTCAAGATATTTAATCTCACGTAAGAGATCTTGAGACTTTCAGCCTGAAGCAAGAGATTGAGATTTTTCGTCTACTGCTGATGAAGGTTATGAACTTTGGATATTATCATTACAATAACATTGCTAATATATACACAAGCAGAAGTCAATATTGTGGTAGTAACTTGTAATATTGTGACTATGTTTCCTGTACTAATGCAACTTTCCTGTCTTACTAAGTAAACAAACTTTGAATATAAAGTACAAGTGACATTTTGTTCCTCTGTTAACGGATCCCAAACATATAAATTCGAACAAGCAGAATAAGCTGGTTGCAACAGTGGTTAACTCCACCATTAACAGTATCTTTGAAGCCAACAGAGCCCAAGTACTTGTATCTGAAATCTGGTTCCTCTTTTTCCATAACCTAAATCATGTTGTCTTAAGTCATGTTGAAGTGAATATGCCCAAGTTAAGATAGTAGCAACCAAACAGCACCCTGCTTCCTACCACACCTTTCATTTCTTGAAATGCTGGTTCTGAAATTATTTTAGTTCTGTGCATAACATCATAAGACTGTGCCTCTAAGGCCGTCTGGATTCCAAGCCCAAAGCAAAATAGTTAAGAGGAAGCTAATTGTCAGATGTTCTTGCACCTTTCTCCAGCCTCCCATACTATTTCCCTTCTGGCTTGGTTCCTTTGTTGTCATTCACCATCAGGCACCACCTCCAGATGAAATCCAACCACCTCACTTATTATAATGCTGCCACAAAACACAGAAGAGCCATCCATGACACAACAACAACAACAACAAGATTCCATTTATAAAGCGCCTTTCACGTCAGGAGGACGTCCCAAGGCGCTGCACAGTTGGGTCATGACCCGAGCAGGGGGGAAATGGTCAGGGTGAGGGGAGGGAAGGGAGGGAGCGAGGAGGGGGAAGAGAGTCGAGAGGGGAGCTGAAGGCTCGGTCAAAGAGAAGACACAATGAGATCCGAAAGCATTAAACCAATAAATGTCTGAAGAAGCAGTCTGGTTTGCACATAGAATCTTACCTCTTTTGGGGAGATGTGACTAGAACTATTGGACTGTGTTGATGGCTTGATCATTGCTATTGGACTTGTAAATGCTGAATCTTGGCCAGAGAAAAGTAAGCCGGGTTTGTTCTCTCTTCCACTGGCTTTCCACGGAGCTGGCTATGTTAGAACACACAGGAAAACAATGTTAGTAGGTTCTAACTTTCTTAGCACTGGCAACGCCCTATGGAATTCTGATCATATAAGGAAGATGCAGCCAGTAATTATTTTTAAATCAAAAAAATAAAATTACAATAGCTTATGAGAATACTTTGCAGCCCAATATTAGTTTTTTTAAAAAAAAACAAATCTGATTTCTGGAGGATAACAGCAGCATCAATATGAATCCACTGGAATTCTTGAAGGGGTAACAATCATCAATCATCCTGTGATATACTGTAATTTCCCCATCCCTTGTCTTCTCCCCTCACATTTTGTGAATTCATCCTAAAATGATTCTGATTCTGAGAATGATTACCCTCCTCCCCACACCACCCACCCCCCACCAAAATAAAACCGCAAAACTTTAATTTGACAGCTAACATTATCATCTAAATACAAGCCTCAAACCAAAGATTAGAACTCAATCCCTGTTAGCTGCATCTGTATTATACAATTTGAGTTACGTAAATGTTATTTTATGATTGGGATTTATTCACATTATCAAACAATAAGTCTGCCAATAAAGAACTTCCAAGGATCATACAATAGATTACTGTACCTTGGTAGGAGGAGCGGCAGGTTTGGGTATTAGATTTTTGTAAACACTTGGGCTTACAGTGTTTTTGTTGCTGTTCATGAGATGGTTTCCTGAGGAAGAAAAGCTAGTTAAGAATATCGGTTCGTCTCTCAAAACTTTTCTGATGACCAGCATCTTGGAAACCGGCTGCTTGGCACTTGGAGGGTTTTCTAGGTGTAAAAAAGGAAGGGAAATGTTTTAGTCAATTATCTTTTTCTCCTACATCTGTATATCTTAGTTTATTGCAATATAAAAACACCCAGTAGAACAATACCACATTTCCATTCTCAAGTGTCAAATTTGGTATCCTCATCAAGCAGATGATTTTTAAATAGGTAGTGGAACCATTCATGAACTTTTATGATGGCTTATTTATATCCACACATGTACAGTGATGCTGCGAGTTTAGACACAAGCCAAAGTACTCACTTGCATGCTATGAGTGTAACTACAAGCGCAACATCATGCAATGCACTCCACTTGCATCAGCAGATTTAGGTAAAATAAAGACATTAAGTTGGATCACTTCACAATATCTCAAAAATGTTAAATCCCAATGATAGACTTTAATTATTGCAGGCTGATTTGATATCAACATTGGAAAACTTTTATTTCATTAAAAACTCAAAGAGCACTACAATAGTAATAGTGATTTTTTTTCTTTACTATTTACAGAAACTCTAACAACTTTTCTGTGTTTTCTTCAGCAAAGACCAGATTGTGAAGCAATGCCTATAGTTAAAAAAAACTACAACTTATAATTGATATAAAGCAAAAGCAGAAAAATTGCAAGGAATTAAAAAAAAGTCAATCTGACTTGTGATGGAACATGTTGAGTTTCAGTGAAACTTTTAAAAACTATTTTTATTGGCTTTGCTCTTCAAGTGTGTCCTCTCACACAGGTGAATTTATGGCTGTTGTCCAGGGTTAGCTTCCACAACTATCTTTGTTGAATAAACCATTTGATCTCATCCTTTCTGAATATCCGTCCTCATCATCATCCAATTGCAGCATCCAACTGTTTTCTTATATTAATAATATAACCCTCGTATTTGATAAGTGTCTTGTTACGTCAATATGGAAGTAAATTCAAACATTTAACTTTAATTATCTCAGTTGTGGTAAATATGCTTGTAAATCTCTGGCTTCTTCTTACCCCAGACTCCCGCAGGTGTGCTGACAGGTCTGCTCTGGCTTGGTTGTTTTTCTGCATCAGGATTCAAAGAAGGCTGTTTAAAAAGATTTGATGCAAGACCATTAATTTGGTTTACTGCCTTCAGCGAAAGAATTCTTGTGATTCAAACCAATTAATCAGTAACACTAGGTTACTTTATCTAAAAAGACACCAAAAATGGACTTACAAAGTCTTCTTCCTCAAACTGAAGTTTTTCATCCTTTTCCTCCTTTTTCTCTTCCTTGATCTCAGCCTTTTCTCTTCCTTGACAAGGTGGCTTGTCCTGGAATGCTGAACTTTTTCTATTGTGAAAATTCCCATTCCAGTGCCGATGGCTACCGCGATGATTTACACCATCGTGAGTCCTGGGTACATTGTGCCAACCAGCATTTTCCTTCCAACCTTGGCTTCCAGCATCACTAACTTGAACACCTTTAGAAACACCCGAATCCACAGAATCATGACGGAGCAATGAAGGCTGATACCAGCCATCTGCAAACAAAAGGTAAGTGTGCAAATACCTGAAACCAAAACGACTACTTTTCATCAATGTAAAGGAATCGCCGTAAAGGCAGTTATAGTTGCATTATTGATGGGAGTTGCAAATTTAAAGACATCACATTTACAGATACTTAAATAATTTTGGGGGCATTTAGATGGACCTTTGGCCTACTGCCTGATATTGTTACAATGACACTTGGGGCTAGTTTGATGAGGAAAAAGGATTCCTAAATATGCACTTTAATATATGCAAAAAATTGTCCTCTCCCTCCCTTTTACTCTTCAACTTGTCAACTTAAAAGCATTTTGTTGTTGAAAATATTTTCATTCATTTAGTCACACTGGAACCTATTATGTTAACTCCCCATTAACAGCACACAATATATCTATTTCTCTCTAGGTGTATATGCCTGGCGAGTGGATAAAACAATTACTGTACAGAAAACAAGTCTACAAGTTTAACCAGTTTTTTTTCTCTCAAAATGTGTCTCTGCTAACTCAGGACTTTGTGATAATTACCTCCAGCAGCTCTGAGTAGACCATTACTAAAGAATCCATCCGAAGAGTTGTGCCTTCTCCGACTCACACCAAATCGACCATCTCCCCGAGCAAAATGATCTCCGTGTTTGTCATTGGTCGAAGAGGACTGTACAAAAGAGTTTTCAGAAAGATTAAATCAATTGAGCTTCCCCACAACAGCTTCCGATTCAAATGTAGAACAAGTACCTTGTGCAGAAGAAAGCAACAAGAAACATATTACTACTCTATATAGGAAAACATCACTCGAAAGACATGGATACCAAACTGGGACGCACAGGCACACATTGTACCCAGTGGAATGTGTAATATCATATCCCGTGTATCCTGTCCTTTAAAAAATTCTACACAAGTTCAATGTGACTCAATTAGAAAAATTGCAGATTGCAATTAGAAATCTGCACTACGGAAATCTGCTGCAAATGCACAAAATCTATAAATAGTTGGAACTGATGAACTAAATCACAATTTAATGCATCCAAACATTTGATGATCATTTCAATCAGTAACATGCTCAATTAGTTCGCACAATTTATTGGTGATTTGCAAGAGGAGTATTTTCAATACTCAGTATAGTACTAAAAAATGTAGTCCTCCAGGAAAAAGAGAATTCCCATTAAAAAGAGCAGCGATTCAAGGACCCCATTTAACTGGAGCAATTTCCAAAGTAATTGGGCTAAAATAAAATATTATATATATATATTTAGAGTGAGAGAGAGTGAGAGAATTAGGGGAGGAGTGCGTAGGAAGGGGAAAGAAAAAATGTAGCTCCAATTTTAGTAAAGCAACATTTTAAAGTGTCAAAGGAAACTTTGGGTTAAAAGTGTAATTATGACACAACCAAGAAGTTACAAAAAAATTATATTCTAATGTATTTGGTTAGGGAGCATTCAGTCATCAAAAGAGCTACAGGAGCCAGATTTGTTGAACAGAACATCTTAAAAAAATATTCCCACGTAATAAGGTATAAAATCTAAGGGTTCAACATAACAGGTGTGATGCTCAGGCATGGTAAGATGAAGCATTACTTTTGAAAGACAACAAATGTGTTTCCTCTAAGAGGTTTGATTTAATTTGCAAGCTTCATGAATGCCAGAGGTTGCGCAACAATGTCTTATAACAATCCTTGTATTTAATATGTCTTGGACAAGTCTCAAAGGTTTTCATAGAATATACTGCCAAGTGATTTGACTGTATTTTGCGGGCGAAACGTGGCAGCCAATTGCGCACAGCAGTGTCCCACAAATTGTCATGGACTGAAGTGACCAATTTATTATTATTATTTGAAGGAATTGTTACCCGCCGAAAAGCAACCCGCTAATCGACTCACAACTGGGTTCCTACTTACTGCTAGGTAAACAGACGAGTGTGGAGTAAGAAAACTTGCCTAAGATTTCGCTTGCTGGGAATTGAACCCAGGTCTCTGGGGCGAATGAGGCGAATGCTCTCACCACGGAGCTACAGGACTCTACAGGTCTTGAGGTTAGATAAAATCTATTCAGTTAAAGAGAATCCTCCAACTCTGAACATATTGTATTACAACACTAAAATCCCTCACTTAGCTATGTAGTTTGCGATTTCAAGGTGCTCCTTATCTTAATAATAATGCAAAGAACTACTGTTTTCTATCATGATTACATTCTTCAGAAAACCATGTTTTTTTTTTAAATTAGAAAAAGCACAACAAAGAGTACCTTGGCTGAATGCTGAGATGTGGAGAAATTAAGCCAAGCAGGAACAAAGTCATGCTGCGCCATTTAGGTCCAGTGTCTCTTGTCAGCATCAAACCTCATGGCCAGGATCCTAATAAAATAAAAGGGGACACGCGATGACAGATGTTAGAATGGGAACGAGCAAAGATTTCTGTAATAAACCAGACACATATTCACACAATTATATAAACCACAAATTTACTTATTCTGAATAAGAGCTGGTTTTAAGCTCAGCTATGTACACTAGTAAATCTAATACTCTATGATACTCATTGCAACAAAATATGTCCTCCATACCTTTCTTTTCGTGCAACCAGGAGGCATCTAGAAGTCACAATTCAATATAAAACAAGCAGAAAAACTAAACCATAGTTATTTACATTAGTTTATTTTAAAACATGTAATTAATGCTGATCATATAGTGGTTTTGAAAGAAGTTTAGAGCATTCCAGGAACAAAAACTTTCAAGTGAACAACCCAAATGCTGCATTATTTTGTTCACATCAGTAACTCACAATGAATATGAACATGAATCTATCTAATTGCTTATACTTAACAGCAATGGCAGACATTAAAAGAGTGTATGATTACACATCTACAGTTTATAGAATAATAGAACCAGTTATGCAGAAAACAATTGTTTAAAGCCCACAGTCCAAATATATAATCTGTCTGAAAAATTATTTGTCTAATGGCAATAACTATTCAGTATGGAAGGTGCTATGTAAATGCAATTTTTGTAGCTGTATTCATTAAATATGCCATTGAATACAATATGCAGGCAGAAGAATTTAGTTAATTTTTTTCAATTGTCCCATATTTCTAAATGTTATGGGGGGTGGGGGAGGGAATCTGAACAGTTGCTATTATGCTTCAGTTGTTCCTTTTCAACATTTTATTTTATACATTTAGAACTGCTGGTTGGAAATCGTCTGGGAATAGTCACATAAATGTATAATCTCCTTATGTAACTACATGAATAGACAGTGGGCTGAGAGCAGTGCTCCCACTCACAATGTCACATACACGAGATTTTAAAGAAAATGTTCCTTTCTGTCCAACTACATCTAAATAGGCTCGCTCTTTGTTCAATGGAAATTGTGAACCTTCAGTTCAGTAATTGATTTTGACGCAAAACTCAAGTTAGCTAGGTTATGCATTGAACTTATTTGTTAGCAATTCATTTGTGCAAAATTACAGGCTTCAGAATTCTGAGACATCTATAAAAGGGCTTTCCAGGTCATTTCTCGATTGCAAAAGATACAAGATGGTATGTTGTCAAGTCTTTATCTACTGATTATACTCAAATTTATATGTGGCTGCTTTCCCTTGTGTAGACAAATCATGCCTGTAGCAATTTTTTCAAATCTAGTCACGTTAATGACATCAATTAGCTGTTACAGGATCAACAGCTTATCTTTGCTCAGATGTGTGCTGCCTTTTACTTTTAAACTTGTATTGATCATCTTAAATTTAGGACTTATTCATTACACATGATGCACAAGGAAGAAGGTTATGGAAGAGATTAGGAGAGGCCCTGCCACTGAGAAACACTGGCAAAGACTAGTTGGGCCAAATGGCCTGTTGGCGCGCTGCAAGTTTTATGTGATTCTGTGCATCATCAGCTGAAGTTCTTAAGTTGCTACAATTATAGAGCTCAGAAATTCTGACTAACAGATTTCAACCAGATGGGCTGATTCCTCGGAAGCCAAGTTTTACTTGGTTCAACGGAGTCTGAGAGGGGGAGAAAAAGGAAAACTCAATAGGGGTTGGACTGACTCCCTGTACTGTTGAAGGGATGAGTCAAAAAGCAGCAGCAGCAACACACCTGCAGATTTATCCTTGAGATGAACCCAAGGGAATAGTTTGCCTTTCTATTTTGGGGAAAGGCAGGGAAGAAAAATGTTTGAAGTGCAGCTGGAATTCAGTAGTTCAGCTACAAAACACATGTACCGTAATAATAATCTCGCATTTGACATAGGGCCTTATCACGCAGTCGGTTGCAGCTTGAAATCCCTCTTTTAGTAAATTTTATATCAGTATCTTATTTGGTTTTGTCAACTTCAGAGCATTCAGCAGACTTTGTTCTGACCACTACCTGCCATTGTGCTAACATCTCTGATGTGTGTGATGTGCACATAAGATGAATGATTGCAAAATTAGGACAGGTATAGCCAAGAGAATGTGAAGTTGCTGGGCAGGATATTCTATTTTCAGTATGTGCATTGTATTTGTCTCAGGATACTTTTCAAAATAAACTTTCAAGTCAGAATAGTAATTTCTCAATGCAACACAAATCAATGATAATCACACAGTAAGTTTTCATCTCATTGTGGAGAATGCATTGGGGAAACAGTGATAGGTATCGATGTTTCAGTTAGAAAAATTATAACATTAACCCAATACGTGAGCCGACATTCACAACACTATTACAAATCAATTTTCGATTTGGCTAATCTAAGAGCAGTAATTAAGTAAAATTATTGTTAAGTTTATATCCATTCTATAACACTGCTTGCAATTTTGCTGTCACAGTATCTCTATAAAGGCATCATACAATTACACAGAAAAAATTCTGCTGGATCTCAGAATTTCACTAATTGTGGTACACAAGTTTGTTTTGCAACAGAAAAACAGGTGAACGATTTAAAAGATGCTGAGTAAATTCATCTCACAACAACAACACAAAGGGTTATTAAGCAATAGTAAAACTGAATGTGAAAATCCTTACCCCCCAAGCAGAGCTTTGTGGGTCAGCTCAACTCAGACGTTTCCAGTATTCTAACTTCCTGTTCTCCCAATGGAGTTCAGCAGACTGTAGGAAGAGCTTGCAGGGTGACCTGGTCACTGAAGCACCAGTAGCAGCACACTGTGCTCGCCTACACCTCAACCCCACCTCAGCTGCTCATTTTATCACTTCCCTATTCAAGTGTACAAAATAACCTGAATACCTACGCCAGTTAAAATGGTAACTGCGAGCAGGTAAAACTACGCTCACCTCATTAATGTTTTCAGTGAAATATCAACACTCCAGAGGGAAAAGAAAAAATATATAAATAAAATAACAAATTAGTTAACCCACTTGTCAGCAGTGATTTGTATGCAGCATAACCAAAAATACAGGAAGATATGTAGCCAGGTTTTATTTCATGAATGTATTTTTTTCACATTTATAAATTTAGCAGTTTCATTTTTTTTCACATATCTATCATTTTTAGAGTTGGCTCTGGGAAATACCACATACACTTCTGAGAGGATTTACATCGATTTTACAGTCATTTGAATAGCCGCTGTCCGGCATCACAATATAAATTTAAATTTCACATCGACCTCAACAAATCCAAATATTTCTGTAGCTAAAACTATGTATTAAAAAAATGTACATAAAGGTTTTAATCTCCCTGTAAAAAGTTCAAGCCTGTAAATATTTTTGAAACCTGAAGTTAATATTCTAGAACAGACCACGTTAAAATCAAAAAGCAAAAGTGAATGTTCATGGCAGTCTTTTCCCCCCTCTGCGGCACAGTAAAAATGCTTTCCTTGGTGTCTTCAGAGTCCAGAGCTCAAATTTCAGTAATGCCTGCAATAAAGCAAAAGGATTAAAAATAAATTTGTATGAACTACGCTCATTCTTTAGGTAAAAACTACAAGCTACAACACTAAAAAATGCATAATCCATAAAAACAAAAACATTCATTGAAATTTGCTACTGCTCCTCACGGAATCATAGCAAGATCTACATACAAACCAAATAAAATATCCTTCAAGACCTCATTGATGCAATTACCCCCCGCCACACACTTCTCCTATTGCAATCTACAAGCTCTTAAGCTTGGTAGCACTAACCAATTACTTGATTTATTTCATCCTCTTGAATCTTGGTGCTGTTCAGCCTATGCAACTTGTCTCATCACCAAAATTTGTTATATTTTTTCTAATGTCCAGAATTAATAACTGTTCTATCCTGTGCAGCAACTTGGACATTCCTCAGCCTCATTATGGATCCTCAAATTGTGGATCTGCAAGATTGGGTTTCTCCAAGCAAAACAAGAAACTGAAGAAAAAGATAAAACTAACTAGAATTGGGCACAAAAAACATAAACATAACAAACAATTGAAGAAATTAAAGCAAGGAATCAGAAAGGATAAGCACAAGAGAGAACCCAAACTACAAAATATAAAAATTAAGTGCAAGGGAAAAAATGTTTTTTGTACCCTTCGCCTTGGCTCCTGGCAATCTCTCTGAATTGAAGGACCCATGAGCCAAGGCAAGAGCTCCCATCAAAAAAATTCTACAGACAATAGACCCATGGCAGGATTCATTAAAAACCTATTGGGATACTCTACTGTCAATGTAAACAGCTGAGAAAAATATTTCGGGAAATTTGATGGATATATAGAAAAGCACATAGCCACAATTCTGAATGCTAAATTGATATGTCCAGAAAATCACACATTAGCAATTTATCAGCCTAAACATGTCTAGGCCACTCACATAATATATTTCTATCTAGAACAAACTCTGAATCTGCTCAATCTTATTTTACAGTAACCAAGTTCTATATTCTTGGTTCTGATTTGGTTGTGCAAATAATCTGCATGATCCAGTCCTACTTCATCATGGACTTTTATATTTGATACAATTAAGAAATTATCATGACCAGTTTCCTACAGGAGTAAAGGATGCATTGTTTTGTGATGCAGCATTATGATGCGTCAGTCTATTGCAGTCTTTCAAATGGTTGAGTATTGCAAAGGGGAAAGAACTGAATAAAACACAAGCATTACAGTATTATTCTATTCATAGAACATATAGGACATCACAGCCCCTACTTCAGAGACGTTGGATACTTGATTAAAACTAATAGTAAATGAATCATCGGACATAATTTAAACTCCCAAAGTATCCAAAAGCCGATATATGGTACACATTCAACTCTGTGGTACATTATCTACACTGAAACATTTCTCCTAGTTTGTATGTGACATAGTGAAATCAAGGACGCAAGTTAAACAGTAAGATCTGTTACCTTCGGAAAACAAAAACAGGGTGTGGAAGTAACAGGAATGCCTTCTTTCTTGACAAGATTTAAGAGATCAAGTTATTTTAATGTGTCAATCTCCGTTAATGTGTTTACTGTTGATGTATTTATCTCGCATGACTTTATAAAGTGGATTTAATTTTTTTTAAGTACAACATTGTTTTTAAAATCCACAACTCTAAATTAGCTCGTCCTAGCACTATTCACACCAAGTGCAGAGGTACAAACAGCAAGTCCATCACATTCGTGCTGGTGGAAGAGTACAACTGAGATCTGCTCAGGCCGATCAGAGAAGCAGAAACTCTACCCGAATTGAATTCAAAGCAATTATCAGGGAATGGTACACAATTCAGGACCTTCATGTTTGGTAAAGAAAATCTTAATTCAGCAGTTGCAAGAATCTGGCTCATCCTTTTTAATCTTACACTATCTGTTCTGATGACTGTGATGTACAAAAAGAGAAAAAGTAATCACCATCATCCTCCATTATGCTGATAACTTGGTGGAGTCAGCAGAAAGCTAACACTAGATAACTGATAATAGCTCGGAATATGGTTTAAAAATGAATACAACAAAAATAATGTTCGTCAAACACAGTGGATGTAAAGATAGTCAAAAATATAAAAGCTGATCGCACTCAAGATTGGAAATATTAATCAATTTATATAAATTGGAAGGAAAAATAATTAGGATGATCATTGTGATCAACAGAAAAGTCGTGATAAACAAAACTAACATGTAAAAGTCTGAACTTTCAATTTGATCTGACAAGCGTGATGATTACATTTCGTTGACAATTTTAACATAGCAAGTAGTGGCAAGTAGAAAATTCAGAACTTACAGCAGAAAAAAGGCCAGAATTAATACGATTGTGGGGGATGGTTCCACAAATTTATTTCATGAGACTAAGTATTTGATCACATCACAAGATGTTTTATATAAGCTTGTTGCAGTGGATGAAAAATGCTCAGTTGTTTACCTTTGCAGGATGGGAAACAAATAGCTGTTTAGCATAGTAGCCCAAAGAAAAATCCAGTATTTTGAAGAATTGCTGACTGGAAAACTGGAAAGAAAACAGCCTTTGGGAAAAGACAAAAGACACACATGGCTTTCAATGAGTGCCTTGAAGTCAAGAAGGTCAGTTAGATTGTACAACTAGTTTGGGATCAAGGGATGTTCTCCATTTAGGTCATGAACCTCCAGATCAGAAACAGCTTCCGTAGAAGTAGAGGTTAGTGCTCTTAGGCTCTCTACACAGTGAGCTGGGTTTAAATGCCATAGACCTTATAACTCTTTAAAATTTTTTCCAGTGGCACGGTCTTCTAAGAACAAAAATGACACACATCCTAATTGTTGCATTTATACTTTGTACACACTCTAGGCCTTTAACCTGTCGATGTAGATTCATGCTGCTGAATTCCTTCCCAAACATTAACAGCCATCTTGTATCTTTGTCCATTTCTGAACTGTGGACTCACAAACTGAGACTATTCAACCAATGAGCATCCTCTATGCTCCAATATCATTCAAACCCAACACAAAATACCCAGTTAACTGACTGCAGAGGAAGCAGGAATGAAAACCATGAGACATTTTTTTCCAATCCGGTGGTGCCAAGGCCAATTTTAGCAGCACTCTCACTATCACTAAGTTGAGATCAATTCAATTCAGCACAAGTTAATTATTTTTTTCTGGTACATACACCTCCATTAGGTGGGAAATTCAAACTTATTTAAAATTCAAACCAGGAAGGGAATACCTTTGTGGTGTGCCCTAATCTGGTGTTAACCAATCAATGTCAGATTGATAACACTTTCAACATTTCATAAACTAATTCATTACTGTATAGGCTATTCCTGCGGAGTCCTGTAGCTCAGTGGTTAGAGCACTCGCTTTGCAAGCGAGAAACCTGAGTTCAATTCCAGGCAGAGGGTGAAACCTCGGGCAAGTTTCCTTACTCCACACAGAGCCTAATAATAATCCCTCCAAAACAAAACAATAATAAATTGGTCATTTTCAATCCACGACTGTTTGTGGGACACTGCTGTACGCAATTGGCTGCCGCGTTCGCCCACAAATACACAGTCAATTCACTTTACAGCATATTTTGTGGAGCGCTTTGAGACGGCTAGAAGACGTGAAAAGCGCTATATCAAATGCAAGGATCATTATTATTATTTGAGGAAAGTACCTCAGCTTAGGGTTTTTTAAAAATTAAAAATTTAATACATTTTTTAAAAAAAATTCTTACCAACTTTCACCTTTTCACTCCTGAAGGAGTTTGCATTTTGGGTTGAGAAAGGTAGATAATGCTATACAATACCAGACCTCTAATACGGTTTCAAAACTAAGATATCTTCAAGGCGATTTGGAAAAACAGACTAGGTGTGACTTTAGAGAAGTACTGCTTGAACAATATCACAATTTTACTTTGGATCGGTGTGTGAAAAAAAAAGTTAATGCTGTTCTTATAAACATCATAAACACATCAATGAGACATTTGCTAATACCCGTGCTGACCCTGATCTATATTGCAGATAACTGAAATTCCTGATACAAGAGAGCCCATTATAGCTCCCTTCAACATAGCGCTGCCTCACTTATAGCTTAGGTCCACTGAAGACTTACACTCTCTCAACTACTGGTGAGACTTGCCACCGTTCAGCACAAATAAATGAGACTTTCAGGGCCGTCAGGTCACTGCTGACTTCACATCCTGCATGTTATGTAACAGTGTAGAACTTCTAACAAATTAAACTGAACACGTTATCCATTGAATACCATCAGATGCTACCTGAACAAAAAAGACAAACTTTTCCCTACTCAATTTGTCCTACTACTTCACGATAAATATTTTTGAGAGATCCACTAGAAGGAATGATTGATCATAACCACATTTCAAAAGCATCTCTTCAAAAGACCATCTGTCTACCTTTATTATTTCCACATGTTTCCAGTTGCAGGATGCATCTCCAATGCAGTTTTTCTACGTATCAAGTTCAGACTGATTCCAGAAATTCTAACATTATTTGAAGTTTTTACTAACATAAATACTTGATGCCATCAACATCGAATAAATTCCTAAAAAATTCCTTGTCCTCTATATCTACATAATGTACAATAAAATGAGTTAATAAATTAAGAAATAAAAGAGATCACTGTAATTCCTAAACACCAGTAAGCAAAGGACCCAGTACTTTCTACTGGGCTGCCATATCAGGTTCTATTTCGGCCACTCATTCTCCCCGTTAGTCTGTCTCCATCCATTGCCTTCTTCATGCTTTCTATTATTGATTGTTCCTTCAATCTTCTTCCCATGTTCAGGCCTTAATTTTCCAGAACACTCCCAATATCCTTACCTCATTGCAAGTAATGTTTCCAAATTTAGAGTTTGTCATTTTACTTTCTAGATTAACAAATGGTAAGTCTCTGTACTCCTCATTTACATTCTCACTAGTTTACTTGATTACTCTCCACCTAATCCATTCCTCTCAGATCACATCACTTTTACCATCTTCTACCTACTTCCATCCTCACCATCTTTGCTCAGTCCCCAAATTAGTGTTTTTCTAAAATATTTTTTCAGCACTTAATTGCACACATCAAGCACCTTAGCTCAGCCTTCCACAAAAACATCATTGCTTCCGAATCACATTAGCTCCGATCTTGTACCACAAAGGGAAAACAACCATTACTATAAATCCACCAGAGCTTAAGACAGCTAGAAAGTGAAGAAATAATAATAATCCTTACATTTGATGTAGCGCCTTATCACGTCTTCAAGAAGTCTCAAAGCGCTTCACAGAATATACGGTAAAGTGAATTGACTGTATATTTTATGGGTGAAACGCGGCAGCCAATTGCGCACAGCAGTGTCCCACAAACAGTCGTGGTTTGAAGTGAACAATTTTTTTCTCCGAAGGAACCATTAACCTCGGAAAAGCGATCCGCCAATCGACTAACAACTGGGATCCGCCAATTGACTTAACAACTGGGTTGCTTGGTAAACAGAGG